TCACTATATTATCATTGTTAATATGCTCACTAACCTAACATTTTCTAGGTCTTGTTACTATAGCTGGCAGTGGCGCGGTATTTGCCTTTAGAGCACCTGGTTCATACACGAATATGTCACTCTGTGGTTGTATATATTGAAACTACAATTTGAACATCCTAGAATACCTAACCTGCTGTTAATGCAGGTAGAATATTCTCACCACATGGATTATTTGTCAATATTTGTTGCATTGCATACATATGGCACGGCATTGGTGGTTATATACTCAACATGTTTATTTGAGTTAATTGTTTCGGTTGCAGAAAAAATAGCATGTTTCATTCGGATCAAAAGTGACTTTGTTCGACTCGCAAATTTTGCTTTCGCTCGGCTTCGCTAAACGCTCCGCCTCGCAAATGCAAAATTCGCTTGTCAAACAAAGTGCCACTTTTGATCCTAATAAAACAATCTACTATTTTTGTACTACAGTGGAAAGGCGCCAATTTTTCGAAACCCGACATCAATAAAACAATATGATGTCTGATTAGTGACTTACCTATGTATATTTTTTTACAGAATTATCATTTATTTTTACTCGATTTCTTTGGGTTTTTCATCCTCATCTCTGAAAATGTACTAATTATCATTGTCTGATTGGTGAAATGAATTCACCATTCACTATATGTACACGACCATGATAAGACCTATTATCACGTACGCGTCAATTGTGTGGTGGCCAAGGACCAGGTTGGCGGGCACTAATAAACGGTCCTTGGAGCACATGCAACGCCTCGCGTGCGTAGGCATTACGGGTGCAATGAGAACGGCACCTACGGCAGCCCTTGGGGTACTCGTGGGGCTACCACCATTGCACGAAGCCATGAAAGCGGCGTACAGACTCAACTGCGCCAATCAGTAGACTGGTTATCGCTGCAACACAGGTCATGCCAAGATCTGGACAGAAGCTACCTTAGCTTGTCTTGTTCTAACCATGGCGCAAGACCGCATTACGCCGCATCATGAATTCATCTCCTCTGTCAAATTTACCCTTCATGATAGAGACGAGTGGCTAACCGAACCACACCCTGATTCCAGGCACCGGACTCACCTGGTTCACGGATGGGTCTCGTGCTGGGAATCTCACTGGTGCTGGCGTATACGGGCAGAAGCAAGACTACGAAGAGTTTCAAGACCTTGGACAATTTGCCACTGTATTCCAGGCTGAGGTTTTCGCCATCTTTGCCTGCACACAAGAAATTACACGACGCCACATAAAAGGCAAGCGCATCTCCATCTGCTCCGACAGTCAGGCCGCTCTCAAAGCTCTACGAGCACCAAGAGTGGTCACTCGGTTGGTTTTAGATTGCAAACAAAACCTTGCTGGGTATTTATACTCACAAAAAATATTTGTGAGTATAAATATAATACCTAATTCGGTATTTAAATACTCGGTATTTAAATACCGAAGAGTATTTAAATACTGAAAAGTATTTATAAATACAAATAATGCCAAGCTCTGTCAGATTATCATGTTTTTTCTCAGATCTACTAAGGATTTTATTCTTGTTAATTAAACCAAAGTCACCAAAACATCTATTCTTGTTCAATCATTTTTATGTGAAACTTGAAATCACAGTGATCTTCAGTTCTTTGAGCCACATATTTTAATAGAATATTATGTAACAACTGTTATAAACGTCCATTTAGTAACGAGTGTTTAATAAATGTCTAGAAGAGTTTATAAACGCGTTACATACTATGTCTTTTCTACGAACTCCGAAAATTAAATTAAAATACCTGCTATTCCTGCTAACCTACAAAATAATTCGAATGGAATGGGAATTGACAACATAATACATGCAACTGCATGCAACCAGCGAGACACGTATATGTGATATTGGTTGTAGATGTGTCCAGTCCATTGCTTACTAACCTTTGTTTCACGTTTATTGTCATATGCTTAGCGCAGAATAAATAAATTGTTCTCAAAGATGGATGCTTCAATTTTACACTTCTTGGAGGTATGCAAGTACCAAAGCATTCTCTTCGATTTCACTTTCGTCTACATTTGGCATATATTTTCAATGAAGAATTCTGATACAAACGAATATTGTTTGAATAATTTAGATACAAAATTTCAAAATAACAGTTGACAGATAATACAATTGACAGGCCAGACATGTCTCAACTGAAGCTGTGTTTAATGAACTGTGTTGCCATAGTAATGTGTTTAAGAAATCGTGTTGCCATGGTAACGTGTTTAATATTTTGAATAAATCACAGATCTATCCGTACGCTAAATGCCATTTTAGTTATGTGAGTAGAAAAAAATATTTTCGATCGTAGAGGAGTTACAAGACAGCTCAGAATGAACTTTTTTCAAATGGTGTATACCATGTATTATCTACTTGTCATAGATATTCCCCATCATTGTTTTCCCAACCAATGATGGACTAGATTACAGTGAAAAGGGAACTATATGATGACGCCTATTCAATTCATAAATATTTTGAAGGTTTTACAGTTTCGTATAACTAATAGATATTTCTCTCTTGTAGCGAGTTTTTTTCCATTGAATTTGTCATACCCTGTGTTCGAATTCCACAAATGTTATTAATTTTTAGTTGATTTGGCATCAGTATCAGCAGTGATCTATAGATTCGATTACTCTGTCTGTTACCTATAGTCACGGTTTCAAGAGTTTGTTTTGAGAGAATCAATAAATTAATTATGACATTGTCTGTCAGATATTCTCGCTGAGATTTTCTCATCATATCTGATATGTATGTGACCAGTTCAATGAAATAACATAAAAATACAGTCCATTACTCAAAGAAAACCCCACTCAACAGCAAACCCCACACCCTGTATAGTGTACCAGTTTCATTATCAAATTACAATTTGAATTACACTTCAGCCTGATCTTTTTTGAAATTTCTTTTTCGGATTTCCTCCAGTATCTTTCCTATTACTCCAGAAATTTAGTTCGCGGTTATCAATCAATTGACTTTTTTTTTCAGAACGTTCATGTATAGTATCCATTACACAATGAAAATAGGAAAAACTACACAATGAAAATTTTGATTCTTGCTGAATTTGTAGAAACTGAAAAAGAAAACGGGTTACCTGCTTGAAACAATGTACGTTTTGTCGTTTTGTCATATACAGGGTGATGACAATTCAAAAAACTGAGATCATACCCGAAGACACGTAAAGTTGAAGTACGATATTTTTCTTTTATGGGAACATTATATCAGCTCCATCGCGAAAGCTGCTTCACAAAAACTTGGATTTTGAATCCGTGCGAGAATCTTATTCTCACGATAGAATACGCTGATGTATAAATGTAGGTATTTCCAAAATCTGATAATCCCCATAATTAAGTTGAATAAAAAAGCAAATGCATACCTCTTCTCTCCCCAGACAGCACAAATCGACTCCGAGAACGTTCTTAGAATATTTCCGTGGAACATTTAGAATATTCTCGGGATGAGAATAGTGTTCTGAGAACATGCAAATGGGACGGAAATTCACGTTTTAAGAACGTTCTAATGATATTTTTCAGAACTTTCTCAGAATATGCTATGAATATATACAGGGTGATCCACGGTGGATGGCCTATTAAAAGTATCTGGAGTATCTGGGGTCTAGCAGAAATGATTACAGAGATATAGGGTGTTCAAAATCGACATTTTTCAATTTTCGGATTTTTTTTGTGTCGAAACTATTCATTATCAATCAAAACGGCTTTCATGTCTCTATCTCAACTATTGATTCACTATCTACTGAAATTTGATTGAAAAAAATACAGGGTGCTTCAAGATTCAGAATCCTGATCACCCTGTATCTGTCTGTCGAAATTTCGCCTCCTTTTTCCCCTTATGTTGTATGTGTTTACAGCTATTTGCTCTTCTTATTTTGTCATTGAACACTTTATATACTCACGATGTACTCAATGACAGTACATTTTTATATAGAAAATTCAACAGGAAATAAGATTTTTTTTTGGAGAGTTTTTCATATTTAGTGAACAAGCATACCAGATGACGCGATGACGGCCATTTAATCAATATTAAAGCCAAATACGAGATGCCAAATGTCAACAGATTGCTTTTGAATGACATTACACACGCTATTATTTAAAATTATATTCTTCCTTCTGTTAACTTCTTTCGGTGGGCATAAGTTAGATTAAAAACAATTATTCTACGATTAAACTGTATTAAAATCAATCCTTTATTATTGGCAACACAAAAATATATAGGTTCAAGGCATTGCGGTTACAATCTCGACTGTCTCTCTCTCTCTGTCTTCTTCTCCCTCTCTCTTCTCTACTTTTACTACCAACTTAAATAATCTAATGACAATATTGAGCATTACTGGATGCATACTATATGCTGCTAAACTAAATTATATCACTTCTTTTCACTAAACATGGATAAATCACAGGAAAATCATATTTCTAGTTGACTCATATGATAGAAAAAAATGTGTCGTACATTGTGATATATATAAATTGTCCAATGATGGAAAAATAAGGGCAAATTGTTCTAAATGCGATCCAGAAGACAGGCAGAAAAGAAGGTAAAATTTGTAACTTCATAGTGAAATATCTCGATAAATAATGGTTTGTTCACATTTTCATTATCAAATTTATGTTTTTCAGACGAAAATACGCAAGTACCAAAACAAAATTCGATAAAAAAAAAACATCGCATGAGTGCAAAATTACCCAAATTTGTTTATAATAATTGATTATTGATGAATGAACAAATTATATCAGCGCATGAGAGGATGTAGATTCTGATGTAGATGCAATTACGAAAAGAACGCACAAACCTTTCTTAACGAATTCCGAAGTTAATGCTAACTTTCCTGGACTATATTGAGACATCTTTCAGAGAGCCTGCTGCTCCACTATTGAGAAACGACATTTTATCAGTATCAAGTCGAGTATTTACGTCAGTCATACCTTGTTCTTGCTCTGCTTTATAAATCATATGATCGTTTAGATCGTCCTCATTAAACGGTAGTACAGCAAACGATATTTCCAAGCGAGGTTACTTCAATTACAGTGAATAGTGATTGTTTTTCGTGAAAGTTCAATAGGTTATGAAAAATGGGTAGTGCTCAATCAGCTTTGAATTTTGGTGCTGGACCAGCAAAATTACCTAGAGAGGTGAGATACAAGACAGGGTTTATAAAGAAGAAAGCACGAAGTAATATCCAATATTTTTATTATTTATTGTCTGATAGAATATCAGCTGGAAGGAAACTTGTTTCGAGCTTATACAAGCTCATCATCAGTCAATTGAATATTGAAATGACAGCAAATTGAACATATCAATAATCAGCGTTGAATTGTGATAAACATACAGGAACAGATGAAACTGAAGATTTGATGGTGTATACAATGTGACATAATTGACAGAAAAAAGTCCTAAATTTGAAAATGCTCGATTTGGAAGACCCTATATATCTCTGTAATCATTCCTGCTAGACCCCAAGTGTGTTGCATTGATAAAATCAGCTCTTCAGGAAGAATCTAAGAATGCAATGAAATACAGGGTATTCCATTTGAAAAATATCAAAGTTGCTGATACTTTCTAGTAGAATCGGCAACGCCGATTCGTTTGAAATATTTCAGACGTGTTGATCATGTCAATTTCTATATACGATCAGATTTTCAGATTCATCTGTTGCTTTGTTCGTCAGGAACGTCTAATTAACGGTCATCGTGAAACACCCTGTACAGTTTAAGACACTCTGCATTATCGTCTGGCGTTCTACAGCTACCTTGGATTCACAAGGGAAAATCTATATTTTTCAAAAACTGACAAGTATAATCTCAATAATATACGAGGTCTTTTTGAAATAAGTGCATCGATATAATACAGTTCGAATATTCCCATGATATCAGATTTTTTCTAATTCTTATCAACGCAAAATTTCATTCCAACGATTTGACAGAAAACTAGAAAAAATCAAGTACGCTACTTTGAGACAATTTAAATGATTCAACTTTTCAAATCCCTATATTTTTTTATTGGTGCCATTCGATAGTACACGTCGAGCTTTCTCAGAGGGTTTTTAATATTTGCACTTATTTCAATGCCACCTTGTATATGTATATATTTGAAATCAGAAGAAAGAGCTCTACCGTTTAGAAAAATGAAATACAGGGTGTTCTTGTTAGGTTTCTGATAGGAAACTGTTAAGCCCCGTGACATTTTGGGAAAAATCATGTTGTTTGTACTTACTACAGATATATTGAAATTATCCTAATATTTGTATTCATACAAACGAGGAAAGAATAAAACCTCAAAACTCCAGGAATTTACCTATTGATATGGATTCAGACATATCATTTTGGATTTCTTAGAAATATGAAGAAGGCTGTGATATCAGATATAATGAACCATCAGAAAAACACAACACTAAAACATAGATGTCTTGAATTATACAGGAATGATTATTACGAGACACCTATACGACCGGCGATAAAGTAGTCCGCCGGCGCTAAAATGCCACTTTACGCCCGCAAAACCGTCCGGTAAAGTGCTCCTTTACGCCCGGTCGTTCATTATAAGGTATTTCTCAGAAATTGATGAAACCCGTTTTTTTATCTCGGAAAATACTGCTCTCAGGAGAAAACTTCACAGAAACTATTTTCCTATACCGGGTATAACAGAATCAAGAAATTTGAGATTTTTGACAGGATTCAATTGATTTTAGGATCACACCTGTCGATACGAGTACATCAGACTCGATCAGAGTATAGTCATGGCTAGAACTGGGCGATATATCAAATATAGAACAGAATAGAATAGAATAGATTTATTTGATAACGTTACAAATTTTGAGATGTTTGTGACAAGTCATGATGTAGGTAGAACTTTAGAATAGTGATATGTAGAATAAGCAGTAACACAATATTTTACAGATTATAAATTTCAAGGACACAGATTTGTTATACAGTTTAAAAACAAAATTTCAAAAATTGCGTTCAAGAAAAAGAGTCAATACAAACATGTGTACTAACTTGCTTCGATTTCGAGATACAGGGTATTAATATTCACATGAAAAGCGTTTTTTCATTCATTAATCAGTTGTCTTTTCATCAACTTCAATGAAACGTTGTGGTTTTGTTAATAGTAATATATGAGGCTTTTTGGTACAATTAGATTCGCAATTAGAATCACGTTGAAATTTTGAGACTTTTATCAGTCTTCAACCATACTGAATTTTGGCACCATGAAAGCTCATAAAGGGGGATTATAAATAAAAACAATTCTAACTTCAACATCCTGTATCTCAAAAACGGAGCAAGTTAGGCCACATGTTCATATGAACTTTATTTGCTAGAATAGATACACCCTGTATATCGAATACCTGACATATCAAATAATAATTGTATATATTGAAAGGACCCCGCACATTTAGTACGTAAAATGGCTTTCGGCTAAATTTTCTGAAAATTTGATATGTTTAAGACATTATCGTCCTTATCACACAGTCCAATTTACAGATCGATCCTATGACCAGTTTTCGAGCTACAGGGTGTTAAACATTAGATTTTGGCTGTTTAGAATATTTTGCATCAATTTGAATTATGTGCTCTAAGTCGTGATTATTCTTCAGTAGAAATGAACTCTTCACGTCTAATATCTACCTCATGAATCCCTCTATTCGGTTAGAGGATAATATCACATACAGAGTATTGCATTCCATCATGACAAGGTAATATTCTTGGGAAAAGACAAATATTGAAAACATCAGAATTTTGATTTTTACTCAATCACTGAAAACTTGAAAACAAACGGCTAGAATCGGCCAATTATGTGACACAGTATGGGTCTTGATCATAAACATGAGGATTCATATGATTACCTCTGATACCATGTCCGGTTGGCCATATATAGGGTGATGACAATTTGAAAGCTTATAGAATTGATGTAACTCAGGTACAAAATGAGATACATTTCTATAATATATGAAGTGGAAAATGAAATGTCTCATGAAATAACCCACCCCCACCAAGCCCCTGATGAGTCACAACCACCCCAACGCATATCATCTCAATAGTAGCCCCTACTTATTGTGATACCTCATTGAATAGCTTGGTGAAAATACATTTCAGTAGTATTATTCATATCTCGAACTGGGTGAACTAATAAAAAATATTCATCACCTATATCATATTCTGCTGGGGTGACGTATTAATTCCGTAACTTTTTGTAGTATGGGAAAAAAACGTTATTATCGAGCATTATATAAATAACCATAAAAGTGAAATTGCTTATGTGAACAGTTGGCTAGTGAAGCGAGAGAAAACTAAAATCTACAGAATGTTCTAGTAACCTAACCTAACCTAACCTAACCTGTGCTGGTCAGACGGTAAGGACACAGCTCCATTCAATCCAGCAGAACATCTCCAAGATAGAAGTTGTAAAACTGTGACATGTCCGCTATGTTTGAATTCTCAAGAGAATTTGTATTTTGATGATTGTCAAAAGCTGCTGATAGATATTTTTCACATTGTGGCTCACATTCTGGCGAGATGGCCGTATTGAGACAAGTTGTCAGATACCATAATATGACATCAAGCATTGCTATAGATGAACTGATAGGCACAAGCCATGAATGATAGTACATAATGGGTCGCACTGTTGATGGCGATTTCCGAAAATATTGTTGCTTGGGTCTTCGCTGGAATTCAGCAGAGATCGTTCACTATCTATATCTGCTTGAAGACTATATATATTTCATCCATGCGGTTATTTTTGCATATTGTTATGTGCATTACAAACTGTTTTGGAGTCTGAATGGAGCTGAGTAATATTTCTGCATTGGTAATCAGTATTCCTATTGTTTTGGAAAAAACTATTGAGATGATATGCGTTGGGGTGGTTGTGACTCATCAGGGGCTTGGTGGGGGTGGGTTATTTCATGAGACATTTCATTTTCCACTTCATATATTATAGAAATGTATCTCATTTTGTACCTGAGTTACATCAATTCTATAAGCTTTCAAATTGTCATCACCCTATATATGGCCAACCGGACATGGTATCATAGGTAATCATATGAATCCTCATGTTTATGATCAAGACCCATACTGTGTCACATAATTGGCCGACTCTAGCCGTTTGTTTTCAAGTTTTCAGTGATTGAGTAGAAATCAAAATTCTGATGTTTTCAATATTTGTCTTTTCCCAAGAATATTACCTTGTCATGATGGAATGCAATACTCTGTATGTGATATTATCCTCTAACCGAATAGAGGGATTCATGAGGTAGATATTAGACGTGAAGAGTTCATTCCTACTGAAGAATAATCACGACTTAGAGCACATAATTCGAATTGATGCAAAATATTCTAAACAGCCAAAATCTAATGTTTGACACCCTGTAGCTCGAAAACTGGTCATAGGATCGTTCTGTAAATTGGACTGTGTGATAAGGACGATAATGTCCTAAACATATCAAATTTTCAGAAAATTTAGCCGAAAGCCATTTTACGTACTAAATGTGCGGGGTCCTTTGTTTCGAATAATGGATACATCATCAACACCATTAAACACGATATATATCGAATATTTGAATATTAGAATATATGAATATTCCGTGAAATATCGATATATCGAAATAAATTCCCAGCCCTAGTCATGGCACACTCAGATGGATAATTCAAAATGAAGTTGAAATCAATGTTGAAGTTTGAAATGTTACTTATGTGGTATCATTGGATTCAGAGAATGATGTAGAATTCGAAAATATACAGGGTATTCCATTTGATAATCTAATGTTATAACCACTTCCAGTGAAACCGGAAGTTCAAGATGAAACATATTTATGTCAAAGCATGACGTTCATCATGTTGATGGGACATTCCAAATTTCACTTATCTCCGAAGCAAAAGGAGAAAAAGGAGGTGTACCACGAACCTGTTACACCCCGTATATATCTGCGAGATACCCATAATTTTTTTCACAACTCGTATGTATATCAAAACCTTGATAAAAATATTGAGATATTATCTGAAATTATATTATCTTGGAATAAAAACAAAAACATCACTGTGACTAGCAAAACAACAAAATAGATGAATTGATAGATAACAACATATTCATTTAGTGAATTATGAATAAGTACCTTCCTGTACTAAAAGATTTAATCATCATGGGAAGGTACTTTTTCTTTGAAACCGGTATAATAATAAAAATATCATTATCACTATATGTGACTAAGCACTGATTATCATACTTGGTCAATATTTATCTATAATGTGTTATGAGTTATGATCTTTGAACTTTCCACTCTGTTTAAGAAATCCGTTTTTTTTCGAATCGATTATGATGATATGCATATTGAGTTCAATATTTCCATAACGTTTTTAGTTAATTTTTACATGTTTTTACGTTTATTGAATTCACATTCAAATTTATCATATTGTTTCTGCGATATATAACCAGATCATGAGGAAATTCCTTTTATCACTAAACTCTCGTTTTGAATGGATATACAGGGTTGGACTAAAGTCCTGGTACGGTCAAATATCTCAGGAATATCTTTCGTTTGTTCTGAAAAATCATTCAAAAATATGGAAAGGAAATATAGGAAGGTATATACACCTTATTATAAGTACCAAGTATTTTACTAAAAGTAACCCAGCAAACATCAATGCATGGGCCATTACTGTTTAAGCAATGTCACCCCAGTGAACTATCATTGGCAATTTGATAACATTTTTATTACTTCCATACATTGCTTATTTATTGTTGGCCCAGTGATGACTGACAGGCGTATTTCCAGTGCATTTACAATGAAATCTAAGTAGTTTATGTCACAAATAATCCACGGTTATATAGGGAATATATCGTTATACTGATGATGAGAACTGCGATGAAAATAGTGCTGAACTTCTCATGAGTTTTTTTTTAATCGCTTGGAGCGCACGAAAGGGAATCCCTATAATGTTCAAAGAACATCGTGGGTTCCTAGGGAGGATAGGGACAGGAGGTAGGTATTGGAATTTTTTTTGAACTTTTGGAGATCATATGTCGTTGGGAATACTTCCACAGGCAATGAATTCCAGAGCCTAGCCGTTCTATGGATAAAGGGGTCTTGATAAAGTGCTGTTCGACATATTTCGAGGTTGACAACGAAAGGATGTGCTTACTGGGCTTGTCTAGTTCGTCTGATTGGTATTGCTAGTGAAGGGATGATAGCAGAGATTTCCGAAGAACATTTCTCGTGGAAGTATCGATAGAAAAGTGAAAGGTCGCCGACCTTTCTACGGTGTTCCAATGATGTCAAAGAGTGAGTGTGGCGTCACCCACCAGGCGAATGGCTCTTGTATGGATGGAATCTAAGAGCATCAGCGTATGTTTTGGTGCTGAACCCCATATGTGGGAACAGTATTCTAGAACAGGCCGTATCTGCGCTTTGTAGATCATGAGAAGCTGTTGAGGTGTAAAGTAGCTTTTCGCACGGAACAAGAATCCGAGTTTTTGTGTAGCAGCTTTTGCGATGGATCTGAAATGATTATCCCATGAAAGAGTGTTGCTGATGGAAATACCGAGCATAGATATGGTTGGCTTGGTGGGGATGGTGGAGCCAGACATTACTATATCGGGCATACTGAGTTCCGCCTTTCTAGAGAAGATGCAGGCTTGAGTTTTGGTGGCGTTGAATCCAACTAGGTTGTTTGTTCCCCAGGCTGTGATTTCAGCAAGATCTTCATTGACAGCATTGACCTGCCTGCGCTGTGAGTTCTTAGTTTCCTGGGAAGAAATGGGAATTCTGGAAGAGAACGCAGTATGGAGGGTACTATCATCTACAAAGCTGTGGATGGGGCAAGTTGTTACTCCCAACAGATCATTGATATGAAGCAGGAATAATGTTGGTGCCAAAATTGATCCTTGTGGAACGCCGGAATTGATGCCAATGGTATCAGTCATGTTGCTTGATATCGGAATTTTCGGGATTTGTGAAAAAATTGGTAATACTCCTCTGGGTTTTGATTTAGTTTTCGGGCCCCCAATATCCTATAATATGACTTTCCGATATGAATTTTCCTACTTTTCCTAGGCAAAATCAGCTTTTTGGTGTTTCATGATGAAAAAAAAAAGTTTCATGAAAGTTTCTCTTCAAATTCATTGGAATTGGAAAATGGGACAGCGGAATAGGACTTCAAAAGGTTGCTGGATCGAATCCCGACAGAGCAGAGAATTTTTATTTATTATTTAAATGAGTAATACATCTAAATTATCACGATCCACTGTTGCGTTCTAATAATCAGTGCAGTGCCTAAGGTGGTGTATGGAGTCAGTAACAAACCTACAAATAACATACGTGTACTGAAGGACCTCTCGTGAGAACAATAGCCAGTTGGTGTTTACACACATATCAGCCAAATAAATTATGTATGGTATATCCAAAACCATTTTTTTCAAGTTTTTTTGGGTTTGAAGTTCCCTTGAAGTGAGTGCAGGTGCGGTACGAACTCTGCAATTGTTTTTGGATAATCTTTGCCTACCTACATACGCATAAAAAGTGGTTTCCATATGGTAACGTTGATTCCATAAATGAAGAGGTATTCATGAAATAAAATCAAATATACCGATCGTGCATAAAATATTGTATTATGTATTTCGAGAGTAACTTTTGGACTATATGGACCTTACTTACACGCAATGGTCCATAAAAGCCCTTGATACATAATAGTTATCTATGTATCAAGGGCGTAATGTAGGCGTTTATGGCCTGCGACATGAATAATGGCCCTATGGCGTCAGCCGAGGGCCATCACACGCCGACGGCTATGAAATTGTCATCTTTTGGCTAAAAACTTTAGACAGTCAGAAAGGAACTATTCAAAGAAGGAAGTTATAGCGAAGATGGAATCGGATGATCAATAACATGTATCATAATCATAACGAAAGAATCAGCTGAGAGTTCAAATATAGGTATTCCACAAATGGATGTGTGGATATAGGGAACTTGAGAACAGCGGGCGGTAAAGTGCACTTTATGGCCCGTGGGCGATAATGGGCCAGCGGGCGATAAAGTGCACTTTACCGCCCGATAGTGCATAAATTACTATTATAGACGACCGGGAGTACAGTAGCACGACTTTACCGCCCCCGGACTACTTTATCGCCGACGTATAAAAAACTCGTAATAAGCATTCCTGTATAAATCGGAACTTTATTTTTAGTTGTTATGGTTCATTATCTAATATTACAGTGTTATCTGTGATGACAAAGGTTGACAGCAAATATAAAGTAAGTCTACTTCTATTTAGAAAAATTGACTGAGTTACCATGGTAACGTTGATTCCATTAATGATATTCCACACTGTAGCCATTATGCATTTCTATCGAAATCAAATATACCTACCGATCGTGCATAAAATGTTGTATGTATTTCGGGTTGCTTTTATGGACCTTGACGCGTTATACACGCTACAGCCCATAAAAGCCTATTTTACGCACTTGATACATAAATAACTATTCGGTCACCGACAAATAGTATTAGCTGTTTTTTATCTCTTGGAGCGCACGAAAGGAAATTCCTATGATGTAATTTTATATCACAATTAAATGAATAGACCTTTGAATCACCATTGAATCGTCAGCTTTTTCCTGTTTGCTGAGAAGATCAAATAACCAAAATGAAAAAATCAACTGAAAAAATGGAAACTGTCTCTTTTTACAGGTCCTCGAAGAAGTCCAGCGGGATTTTCTTTCCTACCAAGACTCTGGCATGAGTTTCATTGAAATGAGTCATAGAGGCAAAGAATACACCAAAGTGAATAATGACGCTCAGAGCATAGTGAGAGAACTTTTGTAAGTCACACAGAATATCCTACGGAAATCCGTGTTATGTTCAATTCTGGTCGGTATATCCATAGATATCCACGGAGGATATGTGGTAGATATCCTTCAGAAGATACCCAGGCAACCAGATGACGAATAATCACGTCACTGTGACGTCCCTAATTGGTGATTTTTCGTCAGAGACGTCGCACACCAATTTATGACGTTACTATGACGTTCTTTCTATGACGTGATAATCACGTCATCGTTTCGACGTCGAGTGAACGTCACTTAGATGGGTAAAAGAAGACGTCAGTTTCATGACGTTGCAGGGACGTCCTGTCGACGTCCATTTTTCCCAGACCTTCTCTAAACCATGGATACTTATATATTATCATGTGAAACAGAAGTATAACTCATGTAAGCAAATCAACATGCAAGTTTTATTCTAATTATTAATATCACCGAAAAGCAGTGAAAAAACTTTTTTCTAGAAAACTTTGACACACTGTATATCTCGGAAACCAACAAGCTATGTATATATAATAATGATTGTTTAGGTATACCTATATTGAAACCGTTACTCTTATGACGTTGCAGTGACGTATCTATGACGTCTAAAAACCACGTCGGTGTGACGTACCAATTTGGTGAGCTTCGTCATTTAGGAAATTTTTCAATAATTTGCTATTTAGATTTTTGGTGGGTGACAAAGAATGCATCAATATACATTATTCAACAAAGTGAAGCCAAATTCACCAACATCCTTTCCATTGCTATCAAACTATTCTTTGTCTGCTCACATCTCGCCGACACAAACTACATAATTTTTTATACAAATACGAGTAACAGATTGCATTCTGATGGAGATGCGTACTGAAGGATGGCGCTGCTGAATAGGCGATTGAATGAACATGACACAAGAGGGACCCACCAAGCAGACTCAACAATGCATAATCAATATTATATAATGTCATCAGAGGCTAGTGGTGTTTATCACACCATGTTTAAGGAATCTTTTTTACGTATCATCGCCAAATTTAATCGTCATTTTGACGTCATTATGACGTCAGTCGGACGTCACATTTTGGTGAGTGAATGACGTCAATACGACGTGAGTAATATGACGTCATTGGGCTGTGACTTATTCACGTCATTATCACGTCATGTGTCGTCACCTTGGTCATTCAAGTGACGTTTAAAAGACGTCACTGGAACGTCATCTGGTTGCCTGGGACCCAAACCAAACGAAGAATTTAAGTAAATTACAAAATCATTGTACTCCAAAGTATTCATAGAGAATTATGATTTTTCAATAATAAGTATATTTACTCTTTTCCTGGGCTCATTAATCAAATCCCTCTACTAGATATTTTATGGATATAGCCCTAGATGGGTTAATCATAAGATACTCAAAGCAAACATGATTGTCGATTATATAACGAGTCAATAATAATTTATCATCGATGAATATTTACGAATCATATTTTATTACAATCATTACAACTAATTTTCATTTTTTCTGAAATTTCTAAATGTCTGAAATTGTTATGAAGGATATTTTCAGTGAGGGTCATGATTTTTTGAAGAAAACTTTTTTCCTCGTAAGTATTCTTTTTTGTGAAAATCAAAGTACAAAAAGTGTTACCGTTTTCGAGATATTTGAGTTCTCGTTTGAGTTTTTGTCGTCACATGATATCAGCAGATTAATTTATTGGTAACAATTCTTTAGTAGGCCTCAATCAATTTTGTTTTCGATTTTGAAATATTACTACTGATGACTTTATCTGCTGATATCATGTCAATACAGAAACTCAAATATCTCGAAAACGGTTTCAATTTTTGTATTTTGATAAGGGTATCGTTTCTATATAATTTTTTTATCAAAAAGAATAAGAGAAAAAAAGTTGTCTTCAAAAAATCGTAACTCACCCTCTAAAAACACCCTTCATCAAAATATTAGAGATGTGGAAGTGTATCAGAAAAATGTTTTTATCAACATATATATTCATGCAGGAAAATTCAATCTGGTGGCTTTGACCGTTTGGAAGTTATGCGGGAAAATAATTTCAATTTCATCAACTTCTGAGAAATATATCTCCCTTAATATATTTTGGGCCATTATAGATCAATCATTAAACTATACTTATTTTTCAAAGTCACATCCAGGAAGATCGGTACACATTTTTGACTCACCCTGTATATAAAAAGTTCTATATTGAAGTTATATGGCTCTAAAAAATCAAACAAAGCGCGTCGTAGAATGTTGACGTTCGTTCAGACCTACTCAAAGAATAATCGCAAAAAACTAGACCACGAGTCGAATGGTCACTTCCTCCACAATTACAAATCGTGTCAGTTCAACAGGATAATTGACCGTCTTGATTATGTAACAAGTTATCCATGTATAACCCGAATATGTAGTGGTTCTTATAGTATATAACTACTGATCATACTATTGGATCATTGAGCCTAAGCTATTCAGTACGTGATATTCGATTGTTTTCCAGAAACGTTCCCGCCAACTACAAGATCCTCTTCATGCAGGGCGGCGGCACTGGCGCTTTCGCCGCCGTCGCGATGAACCTCATGGGCCGGACGGGCACGGCCGACTACGCTGTCACCGGCACGTGGTCTTCCAAGGCCGCCAAAGAGGCCGCAAAATACGGGGAAGTGAGGCTGGTGTACCCGCAACATAAGAAGTCAGGCAGCATCCAGGACCAGAGCACCTGGACGTTGAACCCGAACGCTTCATATGTGTACTACTGTGATAACGAAACTGTCGACGGTAGGTAAACTCATCATCTTATTCTCCTTCTTCTTCTTCTTCAACGAATTCAACATCAGAGATCTTCAACGAATTCAACATCCATATATGGCCTCGAGACCGCCGGCTTAACGTCCTTTCCGAAGGACGGCATATTCTTGCCATACCCTGTGCTCATTGATATGGTATCTGTAGCAATGATAAGCTATTTTGCTGAATATATGCGGGCTAACGCTAACGTCTCTCCGATATCGAACGGCTGGTGCCTTTCTTGCTAAGATAGTGCGATTAACCCGTAGGTAACCTCGGACTAGATACTTTTGTTTCGGTGTGTTCGTATGTTTTGACCACTGACCTGACTAGTTTCTAGACCGATAATGCCATGAGAAAAAGGTAAAAGCCATATCTCACTCATGTTCCTGAACACCAAGAAACATGACTCGCTCTCATGAACGACACTGAAGACAGTTTGTGGGTATGCCCATTGAACAGAAGCGTTTTCAGGAGATTTTCGGGTTGCTGAGGTATGACATATATTTCTCAACGAAAGCAATGGCACGTGGTCTTCCAATGCCGCCAAAGAGGCCGCGAAATACGGAGAAGTGCGGCTGGTGTACCCGCAACATAAGAAGTCAGGCAGCATCCAGGACCAGAGCACCTGGACGTTGAACCCGAACGCTTCCTATGTGTACTACTGTGATAACGAAACTGTCGACGGTAGGTAAACTCATCATCTTATTCTCCTTCTTCTTCTTCTTGTTGTTGTTTCTTCTACGTCGTCCTGTCTCTGCTACTGCCCCAAACCGGAAATTTTACCGAATCCTCTGGTATTCCAACCAGAGGCAGGGATTTTCAACGAGTCCAACATCCATGACCTCGGGACCGTCGGCTTAACGTCCTTTCCGAAGGACGGCATATTCTTACCATACCCTGTACTCATAATTATGGTATCTGTAGCTATGATAAGCTATTTTGCTACATATATGGGGGCTAAAGCGACGTTTCCGATATCGAACGGCTGTTGCCTTACTTGCCAAGCTAGGGCGATAAACCCGTAGGTAAACTCGGGCTAGACACTTTTGTTTCGGTGTCTTCGTATGTTTTAACCACTGACCTAACTAGTCGTATCTAGTAGACCATAAGAAAGAAGGAAAAAGCCATATCTCACTCATGTTTCCGAACAAGAAACATATGACTTGCTCTCATGAACGACACTAACGACAGTTTGTGGGTTCATGCCCATTAAACAGAAGTGTTTTCAGGAGATTTTTGGATTGCTGAGGTATGATATATACTTAACGAAAACACTGGTACGTGGTGAACCCGAACGCTTCCTATGTGTACTTCTGTGATAACGAAACTCTCGACGGTAGGTAAACTCTTCTTCTTTCCTTCTCTTTCTTTTTGTTGTTTCTTTAACGTCGCCCATTTCTGCTACTTCCCCAACCGGATATTTTGCCGGATCCTCTGGTGTTCTAACCACAGGAGGGTATCTTCAACGAGTCCAACATCCATGACTTCGGGACCGCCGGTTTAACGTCCTTTCCGAAGGACGGCATATTCTTACCATTCCCTGTGCTCATAATCATGGTATCCATAGCTACGATAAGCTATTTTGCTACATATATGCGGGCTAACGCGACATTTCCGATATCGAAGGGATGGTGCCTTACTTGCCAAACTAGGGCGATTAACCCGTGGGTAAACTCGGGCTAGACACTTTTGTTTCGGGGTCTTCGTATGTTTTGACCACTGACCTAACTCGTATTTAGACCGCTAATGCCATAAGATGGCAGAAGCGATATCTCACTCATGTTCCTGAACACCAAGAAATATGACTCGCTCTCATGAACGGGACCGTCGGCTTAACGTCCTTTCCGAAGGACGGCATATCCTTATCATATTTTGTGCTATGCAATGGTATTCCGCTTCAAATGTGCGCGCTTACGCGGCGTTTCCTTAAAGGTCATCCGTCCAAGTACTACCCAGAGAGCACAAAAACATCTCAGAGATGTTAAAAGTACGAGATTTCGAGACATTGAACCTCCACTGCGATGTTCTGTTCACACATGAATAGAACTATTATAGAACAGCCAATGTCCGCCGCAGGAGGCAATTATCGAGATGTCCTTGATATGTCACAAAACTACCTTCTCCCTATAGTTTTTTTTAAAGCCTTTTCATGGACACAACAGAACATTTTCAACGCGTCTTGCGCACATTAAATCGCTGTAAAAAAAACATTTCCGAGGTACTTTTCTGAAGCCTTTTGTCAAAATGAAATTTGCATTAGGATTCCGTTTCCCTTGAATGAAAAAATGCATTAAAAATAGATTGAACATGAAAATATTTTCTTGATATGAAATTACCTTCTTAATCGGTTTCTGAGTAGTGCTTACTACACACAGACATATAAGTGGAAATAGGTTTCCCAATTTTTGAAATGTTCTCCACAATGCATAATTTTGCAACTGCGGTGAAGCTGTGTATTGATAAATTCGTACTTTTATATATTGATTACACTGAGGCACCGAACGACACATCTTGCATCTGATGGTCATTATTACAAACTAAATAAGTCTTCTAACACAATAAACTTCACCAAATTCCTTTCTGTTCGTTAGCAGCGTGATGTAAGCGTGACACGCTGCAAACGCGAATGCCAATTGCGAACAAGAACAAAATCGAAAACAAAATCGAAAACAAAACAGAATTCATCGTATTGTGACGTAAGCATGAGACGTTGTGGTGGGGCAAACAAAGAAAGGGCACAAAAGAACAAAAACAATACTTTCAATATCCTTTTAAGACCTCTTTGGGAAGTGCATATTACGCCTCAAAAAACATCCTCATGCCTACATTTATAATACATCCCAAAACTTCCCAGGGATACCTCTCAGTAGGCAAACAAAGAAATGCCAAAGAAGAACAAAAACAATACTTCAATAGCCTTCAAAGACCTCTTTGGTCAATATTACGTCTCAAAATAACATCTTCATGCCAACATTTTCAAAACATCCCAAAACATCCCAGGGATGTTTGTGCTCGGTAATAACCGCGCTAGACACTGCTTCACTTCACTTCACAGATATATCGAACGGCTGGTGCCTTTGCTGACTAGCTAGGGCGATAGAATATCAACTTTGTCATCTTGTATCTCTCTAATTAACAATATATCATCAAGCCAAGTTGGCTTGAATCATTATACAGGGTATCTCTGGAAGGTCTGGAAAAATCTCACCACATATTCCTGAGGTCAAAATGAGCCGATTTAAAGTAACTTACCTTTGTCCGAAGATACAGGGTGGTAAAGTTAAAAATGAAAATGTAATTTCTCAAACTGTATCAACATTTTTGGAAGTATCACTTCATAAATTGGTAGCCAAGTTTGAGATGCGAAAGCCGAATATGGATTTCGAATGTTATCATCAGAGGGCGCTTACAAATGCACATCTTTTAGTTTGGAATGACTCTTTTTTGTAGAGGTGATGTTTTTCTGAATATTCTCGAGCAAAAAAAGGTGCTCTTGTGAAAATTCACTAAATTGAGCTGTTTTCGTGATATTCCGGTTTTCAGTGTTCGATGCCGCACCGGAATATTCAAATTATCCTGAATAAAAAATGATTGCTGTTATCTTCGTGGATGTAATTTGGTCAGTGAATGAGCAGTGCGAAACTTAGAATACTTTTTTGGAGTGTGCTTGCCAATTTTTTTTTATTTTCCTTCCACCCTGTATCTCGGAAACTGAGCAATTGAATTGAGGTATAAGTTGCTTTAAATCGGCTGATTTTGAACTCGGGGCTATGTGCTAAGATTTTGTACAGACTTTTCAGGGACACCCTGTAAGTTTTGAAGTGGAAAACCTATCACTCTTCTATATGCACAATTACAAAGGACCACCTCGTATCAAACTAAGCAAATTTGGTAGTTATGTTGATGCAAGGTTGAAGCAATGACTGAAACGGACTTTCAGTAATATGGCAAATGTAATGTAAATGTAACGTTCCAGCAATGTCACAGCAACATGTAATATTGCTGTAACGATATATTATCAAACTTCACCTTTGCAATATTGCTGAACGTCCTTTTCAGCAATTACTTCAACATTGTATCAACATAGCTTTCAACTTTACTTAGTGAAATATTATTTTAGCCCCAAAAGTACAAAGAAGAAACTCATACCTACTACTCGATCACCTACCTGATTTCATCTTTATTTGAATTTTGCAGGTGTTGAGTTCCCTTATATTCCTGAAACCAATGGTATTCCTCTAGTTAGTGACATGTCGTCAAGTATAATGACCAAGAAACTAGATATTTCAAAGGTAAAAAGAAGAATTTGTGAAGAAGACATCATATCATGCATATTTTTTTTTTAGTTTGGTTGTATTGTTGCTGGTGCCCAAAAAAACATCGGACCAGCAGGTGTAGTCGTAGTTATAATAAGAGAAGATCTGCTAGGAAATTCGATGAAGTGTTGTCCATCAGTATTCGATTTCACCTATATAGCCAAAGAAAATTCAGTGCATAATACACCAGCAACCTTTTCGTAAGTACCTTTACCTATAATACAACTTATATACGTCGGCCACACATTATTAGTAGTATAGTAGTTCTCCAACTTACAAATGAATTAAAAACGTGAAAATTGGTATGCTGTTATAATCGAACGCTTTTCCGATCTACATGAAATTTTTTCTGTGACGGGAAAAAAGTTCGAAATTTCATCTCTGTTGACAGGTTATAATATGTCACTTTCCATAAATCACTTTTTTCCCAGATATACAGGATGTTATTGAAATAAGTGCAAATATTTCAAACACTGAGAAAGCTCGACGTGTACTATCGAATGACAATAATAAAAAAATGTAGAGATCAAAATCAAATTTGAGGTTAGACCCCTTTTTCCACCCAAAATTCTACACTGTAGCAAATCTGACGTCACCTCTGTTCAAATTTCCATGCGGTAGGCACAATCACGCGGAGTTCAATCATTTAAATTGCTTTAAAGTGGCGTACTTGATTTTTCTTCCCTTATTTTGTTCAAATTTTGAGATGGAATTTCTCGTTAATTAGGAGAATTAAAAAAAATCTGATATCATGGGAATATTCCTTAGACTGTATCATATTAATGTGCTGAATATGTGCACTTATTTCGAAAACACCTTGTATATCACAGATATACAGGGTGTTTCGAAATTCGACCGACAACGCTTGACAGGTGATAGCCCTCGTGATTTCATAATCACTGAGATAGGGCAGACGGTCTTGAAGTGTTCAGTTCTCGAGATACAGGGCGTTGAAGTTAAGAAATTTAAATAGTTTTTTCGCAATATCTCAAGAATAATTTAATATAATGCATTCAAATTCGGTATATGGTTTCATCTTTCACTGATTAATTTCTTGACCAGAAAGACATTCCGAGAATTTTATCCAGAGATGCGCTACAGAGGGTTGTGATAACTTTTCCTCCCATATTTTCTACGCCACTGATGAAATTTCAATTATTTCCAATTTCTCGAATTGTTTGTTCAGTTATGTTGAAAAAATGCATCACCTTCAACTGAGCTAAAATGAACAGTTATCGGGATATTTGACCCAAAATAGAAGTATGCATAGTAATTTTTCATCTTCCTCGGTAGTAAAAAATTACGAAAATTTTTGTTTTCTCTTCATGTGTGGAATAACTATTTCTGTTCAGCTATGGAATGAGATCTGAATAGTATCTAATCTACTCAACACCAGAAAAATATTTTTGCAATTTTCTACTACTGAAAATGATGAAATATTACTATGCAATCTTCTATTTTGGGTCGAATATCTCGAAAACTGTTTATTTCAGCTCAGTTGAAGGTGATGCATTTTCTGAACAAAATTGAACAATGAATTCGAGGAATTGGAAATAATCGAAATTCAATCAGTGGCGTAGAAAATATGGAAGGAAAAAATGCCACAACCCCCTGTAGGGCACCACTGGACAAAATGTCCGGAATGGCTTCCAGGTCAAAAAATGGCCCATTCAAAGATGAAACCATATACCGAAGTTGAATGCATTATATTCAATTATTCTTGAGATATTGCGAAACAACTATTTTCATTTCTCAACTTCAACGCCCTGTATCTCGAGAACTGAACACTTGAAGACCGAATGTTCCTATCTCAATGATTATGAAATCACGAGGGCTATCACCTGTCAAACGTTGTCGGTCGAATTTCGAAACACCCTGTATATACACTGTTGATGGCTTTTGTTGTGCTTGAGTCCAAAAAATGAGCCAAAGTCTCCGAAAAAAAACTGCAAGTACTTATATCCTCCATTCGACTTCGCGGTTAAGAATTCGCAATTTTTGACAATCAAATTCAAAAAGATATGAGTCCTGTCGTTGAATAAAACAATAGGAGGAACCCATATTATAGTTCATTCTTGACTCTTTCGAGCAACCAGCATGTCCAAATATACTCCATACTCCATAAAAAAATTTCATGTAAATGTTGGAGACTTGGCAACATTGTGCTGAATGCTGAGAAGAAACGAGACCACGCCCACAAGTCGTGCGCGGTGTTGTCACATTCACTGCTTCAAATATCCTCTAGTGTGAATTAATATAATTACTATTTACACAAAGGTATTATAAGCTATAAACCACAAATCATAAGGGAACATTTCGAGATAATTGATTTTGTATTTCATTTTCCTCATCATATCGGACTTGAACTGTGATCTATCTGAGACCTGAGGACCTACATTTCTTTTCTTACCATAGAATGAGCATGTAGATTTTGCAACCGATTCATCCATGCTATGTATGTTTCGAAAAATCCACTAAAACAAAAGGCGAAATAATGAACGAAGTAACCATATGGCTACGCCCATTCGAAGTCAAAAAATTGTCTCATTGAAATTAATATAGAAGTGAACAAAGAACAATATACAGGGTGGTCCGTTTTTTAATACGGAAAATTTAACATCGCGTGGTACTCGTTGAATTAATAAAAAAACTTCCTATGAACATATACTTTTAAACGCTTCGTTTCTGAGATATTGGGGGTCAAAAATACGCTTCTGAATATATTTTTTTAATCAAAAGTTAGAAACGGTAGATAAATTAACTAAATTTTTCACAGATACTAAACTTTATTAGATTAAATAAAAATTATTCATAAAAACTATTCAGTGGCGGCTGAATCTGGGGGTGGCGAAGGTAATAATTACACAAATTACAATTAGTTGAACGAATTGATGAACGTTTCAATCAAATTAAATCAAACCCAATAATTTCTAGTGCAGTTAATTCTATGATAAGACGTTGCAGAAAATGCATAGAGGTTGGCAGACAGCAATTTGAGCAATTCCTCTAATGAATTCCTTTGTTTTCTATTGATATTTACCTAATTTTATTCTTCAAAAGTTTGATTGTTGAACCATATTTTTTTCCTTCGCCACCCCAGATTCAGTCAACACTGAATATTTTTAATGAATAATTTTTATTTAATCTAATGAAGTTCAAAAAGTCTAGTATCTGTGAAAAATTTCGTTAATTTATCTTGAACCGTTTCTAACTTTTGATTAAAAAACTATATTTATTCGGAACCGTATTTTTGACACCTGCTTATATCTCAAAAACTAACAAGTAAAAATGTACTAGCACAGCAACATTGAAGACAAATAGCAGGATATTCACTGCGGTCTATGGCCTGTTTTGTGGCTCTTCTAATACGTAAATGATTGATTTGCAATGGTTACATGATTGGTTTGGTAAACGGCCAATGCTAACTAGATTTAATACATTACAATGTTTCCTTCATTGGGTTTAGAGACATGCATAGGTTGGTTTTTTATTTTTCCTTCTGAAACGAAGCTATTAGATAAGAAATCTAAGAGGGCAAAAAAAATTGTATGTTGAAATGCACGCCCCTGAAAATATGTAACTCATTCTAAACTGTAATAGGTCTGAAAGTTAGCTTATTGATATTTCCACAATAGATTCATCACAATCGGTTATAGCATTTCTGAGAAATCAATAAATAATCGATTTTTTAAAGAAACTTGAACACCCTATATCTCTTAAACGAAGCGTTTTAAAGTATATGTTCATAGGAAGTTTATTTATTATTTCAACGAGTACTATACGCTGTTAAATTTTCCGTATTAAAAAACGGACCACCCTGTATATACTATTACAGAGATATATGAAAGGAGCAAACACCAAAATTCCAATGAAAACAATCGTACTAAACACTTCCAAACATCAATATTTACACATGTACTAACTTAACCTGAAAATTTAACGAACACATAAAAAGCTGAACTGCCAGCTGAAGATGGCGCGAAATCGATTTGTTTGTTGGTACCCCCTCCTAAGCTTGTTTGTTACCAAATGGTTTCGTTGCTTGTGAATCATAGAACTACGGGGAATTAAGAATAACCACTTTTGAATATAGTGTGACCATATGGTCACAAGGTCCATAAAATAGCCCATGGTTTCAGAGGTGTTCATAAAATGACGAAAACTACTTTGGTGGTAAAAACATCACTTTACGCCTCGAGAAGGAGTAAATTATGGTAGGTTTCAAGGCTAGTGGTGGAAAAAATCATTTACTGTTGACTAATGCACACACAAACTTTTAAAAGCTCATCGTGTACCAAAAAATGGATGTGATGACTGTATGAGTATTTAAAATAAATACTCAAAAATACTCCAATTCCCATCAGGTAACAGCATAGTCACTTCACAACTAAACACAAACTATTATTTCAGAGTATACGTGATGGAAAGAGTTCTCCAATGGATAAAGAAAAACGGAGGATTGGAAGTGATGGAAAACCAAGCGCGAGAAAAGTGCGGCCTCCTATACAAAACGATGGCAGAATCGAAAAAATTCTACACTTGCCCAATCGACGAGAATGTCAGAAGCAGGATGAACGTTCCATTCCGCATTGGAGGAGGAGACGAGAAACTCGAAGAGCTATTTTTGCAAGAAGCGGAGAAACTGAGAATGCATCAGCTCAAAGGGCACAGATCAGTTGGAGGGATTAGGGCCAGCTTGTACAACGCAGTGACCCTTGATGACGTCAAGTTACTAGTGAAGTTCATGATTGAGTTCCAGGCTACTCACGGACCGAAGTGAAAAAAACACTGAATAATTGTTTCCTTGAATTATATTTTCAATATATAGAAGGGAAGTGTCTAATGGGCAATTGCGTTTTATTTCCATTATTTAAGATCCAGCTACGAGTGAATTATTCATCAAAAGAGAGTGGTTTTTCCGTTTCAAACTTAGAAAAATTGTATAGGGATCCACAATTGCCCAACGTAACCTGATGGCTAGACACAATCGATCGCGAAATCAACATTTTATATTATATCATGACTGAATAATCAAAATAAAATATTTTATCGAAATTACCCTATGGTTTTAGTATTTTCCATTTCTCTCTCTCTCAGAAATATGAACAAATCTGGAATCAGATACTCAAGGCCTACTTTTTTTCAAGTGGTTGACATTTTGTGAACGATTATTGGGCATTTTATTTTCGAAAAAGTGGGTTCAAGCACAGCTGAAATCCTCGTGGAAAAATTTGAACGCAAAACCTGATACAGGGTGTTAGTTAATCAACAGCAAATTTCAAAATTCTCGCTTTTTTTATACATCCTATAATAAAATCTAAAGAGTTGATACAGTGTGACCCACTTCTGATGGAAATACCCCTGTATCTTACGTTAATCGTTGATGGGTAAGGATCCTGAAATCCGCTGGAGCGAGAGATATACCAAAAATGAACTTCATGACCAAGTGGCGTCATCTTCAGTGATATACACTGATCGCCAACAGCCATGGTACCACCTCAATTTCCGGAAAGTGGTATTAGGAGTCAGAATAGGTCAAAAATCACTTCAGATTCGGAATCAGGACGCCCAATTCACAAGCTATTCATATTTTTCCTGAAAAATGTTCAGTTCTGAAAAATTTTATTTTGTCGCACTTTTTACGGAAGCACCCCCGTATCTTACGTAATTGACTTTATCCATCATCAATCTATGCTTTATCTTTGGACTTTCCCGTCCTCCTGCAAATTTCAGAACCCTACCTCGATAATCACGTGAGATACGGGGTTGCTTCCATGAGAAGTGAGACAAAATTTAATCTTTCCGACCCTAACAACACAGGGATGTCCTAGGTACGTCCCTTTTTTGTCCCGCGGTACAAGGACATGATTGGTACATCCCTAGGTTGTCCAGTTCGTTTCCCTGGAGTATCTGATATCCATTCACATCAGATTCATTGAATTTCATCAAACCATTGAAATGAATTTTTTTGAAAATGTTTGTTTCTCTTCCGGAAAATGATTGTAATGAAAAAAAAGAGTAAAGTCTCAGAACTTCTTAAGAAATTACCATTTTTCGCAGACAGAAATCGTACATGCATAATGCCCCTCATTTTTAAACACCCAAGAATGATAATAATTATACCCAATTCCTAATAATGTTGTATTTATTCAGGTTTCTGCAGTCAAGTCCTATTAATAAATCTGTTTAGTACATAAATCTTCAGGAGGCATGATAGCCAATGGAGCAAGGTGCGTGCATGATGAGCCAAAGGTTCCGGGTTCAATCCCTACTCGACCTGTAACTTTTTTCTTTTGTCGAAAGGATGTCCCTGGGATATCCTCGGGACGTCCTAGGGATATTCTTTCATCGTACTTGGTACATCCCAGGGACGTACCAGAAGGACATCCCTTGGATGCCTTTTTTAGCGGCCAGCGGATGTCCCTGGGACATCCCTAGTATGTACGTTCTCCCGACAAAGGACATCCCTGGGATGTCCTAGTATAAAATCAGGGACGTCCATGGGAAGTCCCTAGGATGTACTGGTGTTGTTAGGGGAACTGAAAATTGTCGAGAAAAACTATGATTAGTTAGTGAATTGGGCGCCCTGATTCCGAATCCGAAATTATTTTCAACCTATTTTGACTCCTAATATCGATTTCCGGAAATTGGGGTGGTTCCATGGCTGTTGGCGAGCAGTGTATATCACTGAAGATGACCCCACTTGGTCATAGAGTGCATTTTTGGTATATCTCTCGCTCCCAGCAAATTTAAGGATCCTTACCCAACGGTTACATAAGATACAGGAGTGTTTCCATTAGAAGTTGGTCACACTGTATACAGGGTGAGTCATGAGGACTGTACATACTCCTACCACAAATAGAGGCCCCTGAGGGAAATACATAATGTCCATCAGAAAGTTCGCTCTTCACTTATTTTCCAATATATAGGGTGAATCCCTAATAGCACACAACGTCCTAGGGACGTCCCTATTTGGTACAATTCACGTCCGAATGTCCCGAACCAAAAATAAGTGTCCTTGGGACGTCCCATCCCGTACATCTCATGCAATGTCCGAGCAAGGACGTCCACGGAATGTCCCAGCTGGTACATCATTTCAAATGTCCTAGAAATAGCATCCCTTAGACGTCCCACGTGGTACATATTGTAGAATGTCCATGCAAGGACGTCCTTGGGATGTCCCTGATGGGATATGATTTTAAACGTTCCTTTAGGAACATCCATCGGATGTCCCGAGTAGTACATATTCAGGCATGTCTTCAGATCTTATATAATGTCGTTTCTAGACAACCCTGAAATGTCCCTGATGGTACATTCCTTCAACTATCTCTGCACAGACGCCCTTAATATTTCCAGGATCGTATAAAAATCGAAATGTCCCTTAGGGACATCCTTTGAATGTCCCTTAGGGATATCCGTCGGATGTCCCAATTGGTACATGAACTGTACTCTTCCGATGTCCTAGAAATAACGTCCTATGGACATCCCAGTCGGTACTTTCAATATGTTGTCCCTGCGAGGACGTTAACTTACACCTCGCCGACGAATGATTGCTCGTTGGCTATAAGTACTCCTCGTCAATGTCCTTGGACATCCTTGGGAAACTTTTTGGGGACCTTCTACGGACCATCACCTCAAGTGGATGTCCTAATCAGTTAGGCAAGATCTGGTCCCAGAGGGACCCAGAAAAATTCAAATTCAAGAATAATTCGTACGTCCCTGGGACATTCAATGGATATCCAATTGATATCCCTCAGCGTTGCTGATAGGTTGTCCTATGGATGTCCTCTGTACTGCTCGATGAGGAATACTGTCGGATTTAGGTATTCGATAGTTGTACCAGGGACATCCCTCAAGGACGTCCCTAGTTGGTCCTCAAGTGGGACATTTGTGCGTCCCAGAGACGTCCAATGGACGTCCTAAGGATATCCATGGGACATAAGTGTGTTATTAGGGTAATTAGATGAAAATTCACTTCCTGGAGTACCTACTTGAAATATTTTGTGACAATGGATTAGCAGTGTTTGTAACTAGAAAGAAAACAACAATTTCATATTTAAACCATTTATTATCGTAAATGAAGATTTAAATATCTCGGAAAGAACTTAGAGCTTCTTTCGAAAATTGCAGTTTTAAAACTAAACGGCTCAGTGTTTCTCGGTCGTCTCACACTTCACAATAATTAATACATATTAATCTGGTCATTTTCAATTTCATCGCGATTCAATTTCCAAATGTCAATGAAACGGAAAAGTCGACGTCCATTTTTTTTTCAAATCACTCACTTGTAACGACACTGTGTACAATATTTTCCTACGAATTCTAATACCACTAAAACGACCTAAGGAAAGACTGTGCAGATTATTGAAGCCAGCAGGAATGACACAATCTCCGACATTACACGATTATACAGGGTGTCAATGTAGCCGCTGTCCCTTTTTCGTCCCCAGCAGCGCCATTTTATGTTTTCGTTAAACGAAGAGGACTCGAAAAGTATTTTGCCACAATTAATACTAGCATTTTCTGCGGAGGAAAGAATTTTTACACAAGAACTCGACATCCTGCCATCCGAGGCCCGGACTTTCTTTTTCCGTTCTTTTTTCTTTGAGAAACATCAACTTCCAACTCGAATTTCGCGTGTTTTGGTACTTAAAGTAAGACATGTTGAGTTTTGGGATTTTTTTAGTCCTTCAATGCGACCGGTTCCTCCTTCATGTTCTCCTTGACTTTGTCGACATTCACTGCGGCGTTGTTTTTCACATTTCCTGTGCCGTTGTCGTTAATTTTTTCGTCGTCGCATTTCTCGCTTTGTCCAGATAGCGAATGGTCTGAAAAAAAAAAGTTACATGAATGTTTTGTTCCAACGGCTCAATGATGAAGCTTCTCTTGAAAGAATTATGATAGAATAATTATTCAATTACCTAGTTATAGGTTTCTGATGTCTAAAATGGCTATTCAAGCTATTCAAATTATTTTAATTCTCGAAATACAGCCATTTGGAATTATTTATGAAGCAGACTATGATATATTCTATAAACAGGGTGGCATTGAAATAAGTGCAAATATTTCAAACACTGAGAAAGCTCGAAGTGTATTATCGAATTGCACTAATAAAAAAAATTTAGGGATCAAAATAAAATTTGAGGTTAGACTCCTTTTTCCATCCAAAGTTCTACACTGTAACAAATCTGACGTCATCTCTGTTCAAATTTCCATGCGGTTAGTTCAATGACGCGGAGTTTAATCATTTGAATTGTTTTAAAGTGGCGTACTTGATTTTTTTCTTGTATTTTGTTCAATTTTGGGACGAAATTTCTCGTTAATTAGGAGAATTACAACAAATCTGATATCATGGGAATATTCATTAGACTGTATCTTGATAATGTGCTCAATATGTGCACTTATTTCAAAATCACCTTGTATATAAACTCTACATCTAGTGACATTTGGGGATATTTGTCTATGATTCTGAGTATCTTGACTTGTTTCCTTTATGCCTACCCACCCGAAAATATGAATAAGAAGAAATCTGTTTCGGATTCGACTTTTGGCCACGGTACGAGAAAAATGACGTCTTCAGGCCAAAAGTCAGGTTAATGTGTGTGCAAGTCCAAAATTTTCGAATTACCTGATCTGAATTGAAATCCAATATTTAATGTGAAATTTGAGTGTGTGTGAAAAGTATCAGGCCGGTATAGAGGCCGGATGATGACGGATTCATCGGATAAGGGGGCCATACTCCATTATCTCTACGCTGGTAACCAGGCCGGATCACCAACGGATTTGCTGGTTAAGAGGAGTACATACGATAGAATCTTATGAACACTGATGACTCAGCTTCTAGCCATTGTGATAGACAATCAGTGTCTGATGTGACGAGTTGAGTGATATAATATCATTACATAACCAAGTATTTATTCATGAAGAAAATTAATTACCTGATCTGAAGAAATTGTTTCCGAAAGGGGACAGAACTCCAATAACCCCAAAGAGAAGAAGAAGAAGAATAATAATAAGAAGAAAGCTGTCAGTATGGTCTAACCTTAGACCTTGCACAAAAATATAAGCAGAATACATCTCAGTCTACTGTTGGCAGACTCATATTATCAATTTCTTGGATAAATCAAAATATCTCTGCAATCTCTAGACAGAAATTATTTGATATGTTCAGTTAGCTTCGATTTATCGATATGTCTTTTCTTTTCTTGATATTGTACTTGTGTTCTTTAGTCCTTACTGGTGAAACGAAAAGACCTCTCTCAGTAAGGACTAAAGAACACAAGTACAATATCAAAAAAAGACATATCGATAAATCGAAGCTAACTAAACATATCCTTACTGAAGATGGACAACATATGGCAGAGTGGAAAGGAAGATAACAACCAAAAAAGAAAAATCAAGGAATCCGCTTACATTCTTCTAAACGGAGATTGCTTCCTGTTCAGTTGAAATAGATAAAACATGATATCAACTACTGAAAACTGAACATGAAAATGGTAGATTCAAGATCAATTACTGAAAACATCCTGTAACCCATTTGTAGACTAAAAGCATTCATTTATGTCAACATCAGTATGACACTGAAAAGTGTCAAACTGTAAGCAGCACAACTTTCAAAAAAAAATATTTTGCATTTACATGTTAAGAACGGGAGCAGATTCGGTCCCGAAACGTCCAAAGATAAGTAAAAATTCGATATTTTTTCAATATATCTATATTTCTTTCCTTCAAACATTTTTTCAAACAAATTGTCACTGACAAGCTACTGGACTTTTCTTTTAGACTCCCTGTTGAAAAAATGTGTTAAACGCAGTGACATTTTGGGGCAAATCATCTGATTTGTCCCACTACAAATATATTGAAATAATGCGAATATTTTTATTTAATAGAAACGAGGACAGAACATCCCAAAGAATCAAGTAAAATGAATGTACTACCTCCTCGCTTAACCTACAGACAGTATAAATTTGAATGTTGGAAATTCGCTCATTGCTCTGCTTTACTCACTTTGATTGCTGTAGTACCTATTGTTAGGCGGCTTATTGTTTGGGTTGTTTCTGTGCTTCTGGTTCACTGAGTTTTGTTGCATCTGTTGGAAATTTATGGGTCTCTGAATCGGTGTGGGATACCGTTGCATCTGAAAATGGATTTTCAAGATAGTGTTGTTAATTTACACAGGAAATGAAATGTAAGCACTGTCGTTTCCGTAGTTAAATAAGGAACTCTTGTCCGACTATGACACTATCTTTATGGAATCAGTCGGGAGAAATTCATGAGAATGTGCATGCTCATATTTTGGAATACGCTCTCTTCATGTGAAATATTGTCGACAATGCAGTGTTGCCGCTTCTACTCGAAAGTAGTAGCAACATTGATATTTCAAATGGAACACCTTGTATTCTTAGTCTAATCTGTTTCGATGTAATTCTTGTGATTCATTGTTAAATCAATAAGCTCAGCATCAGTAATGTATTGTTGTTTTCGGTTTTCAATGAATAGGTGATAATTTTTTATAATACTCACTCTAATACATAGCTATAAACCAGCAACAGTTATTACTTCATCATTTTCAAATCGAAATACTCCGAAAACGAAACACAGTATCGGGTTTTATCAAGAGTACCTTTTTGGTGTGGAATTGAATTATGTTCAAGTTCACATCAAATTTGGATTGAAAAATCTAACCTCAAAAAAGTTATGTTCAAAACTACTCGGTACGAACCGTGTAACTAGCGCCCTCTATGAGAGTCAGATATAAAAACGAATGCATGCGATGTGTCAGATTCCAAGAAACATCCGTACAAAATTTCACTAGAATGTTGCCAGTAGTTTCGACATAATCTTGAAAAATGTGTGAAAAAATAATTTTTTCAACACCTTGTATCTTGATAACGGATGCCGTTAGGAAATTTTTTTACTGAGTAAACCCAACTTATTTTGCAGTGTTCTACCTACCCTAGTAAGGGGGTCAGGTTTTTTTGAAACACCCTGTATAATATGATTTCTATGGTTTTATTATCGATCTTGAGGAGTTAGTTTGTATGTCCGCTGTTTTTGTTTATTACCATACTGTACTATACATGATGATATAAATGGTATGTTTCAAATTATCCAAGACCAGCCCAGTAAGATATACATACTGTGCATATTCGTTAACCGACTGTTTCAAGCTGTTCACCAGGTATCTGAGAACTAACATTGATCTTTCATTTTCCATTCATAGGTCCGTGGAATAGACCAAAACAAATAATTGTATGCACAAAATTTGGTCATCAAAATATCAAAACTGATTCATAATATTTTTCCATAAGATGCATAATTTCAGCCTAGAACAGCATTTTATCAGACTGATATGAATGATTATTTTTGGACGTTTTCAAGCTCATCAAGATCAGAGTTCATGCCAGTATACTTCTCCTATACATTCCAATTTTCATTTCAATGCTGAATATATTGGTAAGTCATATTTCTAGATCATTATTCATCATATTATTCATCCGATTTGAAGAAGAATGTCAATTCTCAATTTCGGAGGATTTTATTCTTTATTTTTCATATTCCCCTTTTGAATGTTCATCAGATATAATTCAATGTTCGACGAGGCAAATAGCCAGGAAAGTAATTGTTTTCTGTTGAATATTCAGAATGATGTGTGCATATACCTATTTTTGGCTGAAGGAGAATGCAAATTCTCAATTTCAGAAATTTTTATATTTTATTTTCAAACTCTTATCGTATGTGTTCAATAGATATAATTCAATGTTCGTCGTGGCATATAGCCAGGAAAGTAGTTGTTTTCTATTGATTTAACTGAAAAAGAGTAAATATTCTCATCACATAGAGAATGCGAATTCTCAATGTATTGCTTTATATAAATATATATCAATTTTTGTATGTTCATAATTTATCTGAGAATATTCCTTTTCAAAAAAATGTTTCTCCTATAGAAGTCCCATCCATCATTAGTACTATTCTTTACCAAAGTATTGCAGGATAATTAAGGAGGAAATGGTCAGTTTGCTGCAGTATCGGCAATGACAAATTCCAAAAGAGTGTGGAAGGTCACCGAGAAAATCGAAATGTTTCTGTTTTATGGTTATGTTTTGATAGTTCTTGGTTATAAATATGAGTTATTTTTCGATATTTTTTCATTTTCATGAATATTATCAGTGAAACAAGATTGATCAACATTGATGTCGTTCTATTTTGAACCTCATTCTAGTACCTTCCATTGGTGGACTGTAATAAAACGCGGCTAAAAACTTTTTTGATAAAACCATGTCCCAAGGAACTTCTTTATTCTACAATGAAGTTTGTACTCACATTCATGTTTTGAGGACCTCCAACACCTTGATACATATTGTATTTATGTTGCGAGGTCGGACTCGATTGCTGTGGAGGATGTTTCATATTCTGCCTGGATTTGGGAGAGGGAATCTGAGGTCCTGAAAACAAAAAAGGGTGAACTGCAATCGAAATGTTGCGACTTCGATCAAAATCGCATTTTGTATGATAATTGGTCAGATTCACTAAGAGCGTGGTTATTTTAACAACTGCCATATTCTGTGACGTCATTCTTGCCTGTTTGACTCAAATGGTTTAAAATGTCAAGAAATCTTTGTCACACCATATGAGATATGAAGATTTTTGAACAAAAATATTGGTTAAGTAGGTTCTCTTAAAATGGGAAAAATTACAAGGAAAAATTAAATAAAACTTCATTTTATGGTAAGTATTTTGTGTTTTGCAAAGTGATTAAAAAAGAGGGAGATATGTACAATAAAATAATGGCTTCAAAGAAGAAATATTGGTAGAGGAGTCCTACCTATAATTTCTGATGAAGTCCATAGTAAACTCCAAAACTATCTAAGAACGGATGGAATATGTTTCAGATTTTTATCAATCAATCAATGTAGAAAACATTAAAACAAACATCCTAACCTTATTGTTTGATCCAACATGACAAATATTTAGAACAAGTTCTGAAGTTCAGCTGCTGTTTGACGTGACGTCACTAATGACATCACAGATCTGTAGTTTGATCAAATTGTTGAACCGTGAGACACAGCCTTAAGGCATAGATTGATAATAAATGAACAACTTGTCATGTTTTTTCCACTTTTTATAGTGGCAGATATCCACCAGCTTTTTCTGGTGATTTGTGGAGTGGCTAAGGTTTTTAATAAAAAATGGTGGCATTATTTCAAGGAAATGTTGTTCATCTGTTAATGCTAGATATTGCAAAACAAGTAATTCTACAAGAAAGTATCAAATACCTAACTAATTATTTGTGAAAACAAAAAAATTACCTATTTAACTAGAAGGATAGCATGAAACGATAGAATGGGCGTGTACACCTTAGTAGAACTTTTAACTCAAACCATGATTATAATGATCCTTTTATACATAAATAATGATTGACGACATAATTCGAACGAAAAATTAACTGGAATGTTTTATTTTTTGGCATAAATAATAGTACCTTCTGAAAACGTACCCTCTTATGACGTAGAAACCTCATCTCGCCATAATTGAAACAAAATACCAAACGCCCGACGGAGACTGAGGCAACTGATATATTAATTCTTTCAACTGTGATCTCGCGCTAATTCACTCTGTCAGAAATCATGTATCATTCATCTCTGTCTGGAATAGTCTTGTTTCAGTATTAGGGTTTTGACGTCACATCATCGCCTCGTTTTCAGAGGTCCGAAAAATCGGGGATTTCAATAATTTTTTATAAATGTAAAAACTTCACAAACGATAAGATTTCCACAAAATTTTCAAACACACATGTTTGGCTAACACAGTAGCTTCGTCAGGTTATACCGGGTGTCCCAGTATACCTGTTTCAATGGATTATCTCAATCATTTCGAAAGTAACAAATTTGAAAATTTTATGATCTCCAATTCGTTCAAGGAACCTTCAACTGAGAAAAACGAAAATTGAAAGTCACTCCCGGTTTGACCGGAAGTGACTCCAACTTCTTTATTTCAAATAGCACTCTGTATATTTTTTGCAATTTTTGCTATTTGAAATGAAGAAGTTAGAGTCACTTCCGGTCAAACCGGAAGTGACATTCAATTTTTTCTTTTTCTCAGTTGAAGGTTCCTCGAACGAATTGGAGATCATGAAATTTTCAAATTTGTTACTTTCGAAATGACTGAGATAATCCATTGGAACAGGTATACTGGGACACCCGGTATACTGGTACAATGAACTCGTGTTCAATCAACTTTGGATGTCACATCAAATCGACTTATTCATGGCAAATGACTTGTGGGAGTTCCGCCAAATTATTTAGAATATTCAAAAAGGTAGAGTAGGTAAATGAACACAATAATGTAAGTGAATGACTATTATAGGTTTTACAGAAAATGTCTATCTCATCACTGTCTTCACTATCTGAAGAAGAACTACTGATTTTCAAGTCAAGAACCTTTGGAAATGGAAACAATCCGTTCAAAATGTATATTGGCAATGATTTCAATACCTGATTCAGGTTCTCTGTAACTTCTGTCAATCTGAATGTTAACCAAGCAAATACCCCAAACCTAAAATGCCTATCAACAATGCGCGGAACGCAAGGAGCAGACAGATTTAGCGCTGTTGCCACGCCCTTCTCGTCATTAGTAAATGGAATGATTATTATAACATCAGATTGTTTATGCAAAGCAAATGACATTTATCATAACATCAAAGTTATTGTGGCATCAGTTGATTGTAATATTAATTTTTCTTTATGCAACCAGCCCACAATTTCCTTTTTTTTCACTGTTTCTTTTTTCTCCCCTTCTTGTTCATTATAATATGAGTACTGTTATATCTTGATGATATGCAACTTTTGTTCCCTATTTGTAATTTCAATTATACAGGGTGTCCGCTAAAAGGAGGTCAATCCATTAACCATATATTCCTTGAACAAAAATAATATGAGTTTCTTAATACCATTTTTCATTTTAGCCCTTCTTATTCGATATACAGGGTGTCATAGTTGAAAATTAAAAACTGTTATTTTCTAATTACTCGCGTAATTAATAAGATATTAATCTCAAAATAGGTACATTACTTCAGCACAAAGAGTTACATCGTGTGAGGAAAACAAAACAGAAAATAACTGTCAAATATTCAAAATACTGGGGGTACACACTTACCCCCATATTTTTTTTGTACGTGCGCTAATGACTTCCTATCTATTTTTCTTCATGTGTTCAATCATTTTTGAGTATTTTTTGATTTTTGTAAAATTCCGATAAAATTATTTGTTTTTAAGATAATTCGAAAAGTACTGGTTATTGTTTGATGCCTTGCGGCTCACGGTAATCTCATAATGTGCACATACTCCTATTTATTTCGTCGAAATTGGAAGAGGGCGTATCTTATTACATACGGAAAGGTGAATATGGAAATACCGGGAGCTCAGAGCGAATGTATTAAAATAATTTTTACACTTTTTAATTTTTTTTTTTTGTAAAAATTATTTCAGTAAATTTGCTCCGAGCACCCGGTATTTCCATATTCACCTTTTCGTACGTAAAAAGATACGCCCTCTTTCAATTTCGACGAAATAAATAGGAGTATGTGAACATTATGAGATTACCTAAGCCGCATAGGCATCAAACAATAACCAGTACTTTTCGAATTATCTTAAAAACAAATGATTCAATCGAAATTTTACAGGAAACAAAAAATACTCAAAAATGATTGAACACTTGAAGGAAAATAGATAGGAAGTCATTAGCGCACGTACAAACAAAATATGGGGGTAAGTGTGAACTTGACCCCCAGTATCTTGAATATTTGACAGTTATTTTCTGTTTTGTTTTCCTCACACGGTGTATCTCTTCGTGCTGAAGTAATGTACCAATTTTGAATATGAAGGGCTAAAATGAAAAATGATATTTAGAAACTCATATTGTTTTTGTTCAAGGAATATGTGGTTAATGGATTGACCTCCTTTTAGCGGACACCCTGTATAACAGTCGATAATACTTCATGAATGATCTTATACCAGTAATTACTATCTGATCATTCATGTCATTCCTACTAGAAAATTAGTTATACTTTATATATAATTTGTATAAAATGTATCCATGAAGAAAAGACTGTAATGCAATAAACGAAATAAATAAATATTATCGGTAGATCCCTAGAAATGACCGAGCATTTGCTTCTATATTATTATTATCATCATTATAATTAGGAACTCACCGCATACCATGCACAAACGTTCACCAAAAGTACTCACCAGAATTGAACACCGACGACAACACCTCCTGGCTGCCGGGGCTCTTCAGCTGCTGCGACCTGCCGCCCTGCGACTGCTCCTGCCCGCCCCCGCCCACGCCCACGCCCTTCAAATACGCCGCGGCGTTCATACCGGACCGGTACTGCTGCTGGGCGTTCAGGGCGGCCGCCACCTGCATGGGCGCGGTGAGAAAGTGCGAATTGTAGCTGGGCAACGGGGCGTTGGCGTGCGACTGGGCGTGCTGCCCGAACACGTTGCCCTGCAGGCCGTAGCCGGCTTGATGTTGGCTGAGCTGTTGGGCGGAGGGCATGCTCGAGTTGGCGGCTGGCTGGAAGAAGCCGGTCTGGCCGCCTGCGAACACGTCTGCGTTCGTGATTATGACTGACATCTGACATGTCTATACTCAGATCGACAATACAGTCTGTCCAAAGTAAGGTTGCACAGCATGGGGATCTCGGAAACGGTAGGAGATATGAAGTCGTTTACATGGGGAAAAAGTTGCGCATTCGAAGGCTCATAGCAACATAGACCCGGGAAAAAGAAAAAACAAAAATATATTCCTTTATAAATTTTTATTTACATACATATTGAGTACATGGCTACAATTAGAGTCACTGGATGGTATTGTTTGATAAGAGTTCGGACACAGCTGAACTTTTGTCCTTTTCTATTTTCTATAATACAATGCTTTAAGTGAATAAAAGAATAAGACATATATTCTGCTCTTTGTCTTTTCAATTTCCCTAGTAGCGCCTGATTGTCAGATACGATTTTAGAGGTTATATATTCTGTCAAACCAATCATAGCCGTAGATGGACCATGAGTATAGGGTACAAACACCCACTTCAATTTATACACTTCTAGCAGAACAACTGTTACATAAATGGAAAGAATCCATGTAAGAATATTTTAATATTAGAAAATATACACATATGGATAAACTTATAGCTATAATTCCTTATTGTATGTGAAACTGTACTCCAGTGATGAGTATAAAACATGAAGTTATTTATATTAAATCAAAGGTAGGTATTCTCAATATACAGGAAGTAACATAAGTACTTTCAAGTGAAGTATTCCTGAGACAGTTATGAGAAATAAAGTCTATATGAGCTTTTGTGTCCGGAAATGCTTCATTTCGGAGATACAGGGTGATGAAATACAGAGAACAAATCATTTTTCGATAAACATTTGATAGGAAAAAAGTAGTTCATTTTGACGAGACCTACCAAATACTTGGTTTTATAAAGTTCTCAGCAACTCCACTTAGCGCCCTAGGAGCTAAGTAACATGGATCGATATAGAAAATATCTCCAAAACGATGACGTCCAGCGTGATTAAGGCCCTTATAATAATTCCCTTGATACATAAATAACTATTCACTTTTCACTGTTAAATTTTAAAGGTCGGCATCAAAAACGCCATTCAATAATATATCACTTTGTAGTTTACTTGCTTTTCTTAGTTTCGTTTTCAAATTTTCAATTTCATTATGTAATTTTGCGATCATTTCCTCTTTTCCATGATTATTTTGTTTTGTATTTTGTGTGATGATAATAATGGAATTTTGTTCTCGAAATCGCCTGCTTTGTAAATTGATGGAACAGCAGATTCTCACAGACAGATTTTGAAATCTTCTGTTTGAAAATGGACCTAAAATATAGTTTCATTCTAATCAGATGCTGTTATAAAAAGTGAATTTCAATGAGTACCTCACAAATTTCGCTCGTCTCCAAATTGATTTTGCACCCAGGCCATTTCATATCTTCCTTCCATAAGCGAATGGTTGATATTTGTTTCGGAAAATTGAATAAATGATATCCATTTTCTTCAGAATTGGCACAATTCATTACACAGCAAGTAATTCCCATAGCTGCTTTTATCTCGAATGTATAATTATGAAATTTTATTTCAATTCTGACGTTTATAAAATGTATTGTCAAATTCAAACAATTTTGAATGAAAAAGCGCGGGACGACTATGGTGCTCTTGTCACAATGCAAGGTGTGTAACTTAATAAATCTAAACATTCAAAAACCCTAACCGTTGTCATTTCTGTGTCCGAACTCTTATCAAACTAATAACATCCAGTGACTCTAGCTACAATGAATGATTGTGACATCGTAGTGGTAGTTGAAATGTCATGTGCCACCTTTCATCTATGGGAAATCTAAATATATGACAGTAATGATTGTCAGATATCGAATACAAATGTTAGATTCTCCATAAGTAAACAGTGGCATATGGAGGAAACATTTCAAAAATCACTACGATGGTTGAATCATTTATAAAAACCCTGTAATATTTTACTTGACGATACTCGCCTTATTCATTCATGTTTCCAAATAACAATTTTTCTTTGAGTTTTTTCCCATTGTCTCGTGATGATTTTGAAATTTTGATTCGCAAATTTTATGGCATAATAAATTCTCAAGCGTGTGTAGATTCAATGAATATACTTTAGGAAACGAGTCATACGGATGAACAAACTTCTCCTTGTTAAACACATCTCTCAATTTATAGTTCAACATTTGAAATTTTCATGAGATATAATGATGACAGAAAAGACCATTATGGTTTCGGCGTCTTGATTAAAGGCACCTTAGCAATGATATCTAAGTAAAGGTGTCTCATGATTGGAAGTCATAAATCCTACAGAATATTCCTTGTTCACAATAAATACAAAACTTTTTCAAGAATAATTGTGTTTTAAAACGTTTTATTTTTTAGCTACAAAGTTCTGAAATGTTTCAAGAATTACACCAGAGACTTTCATTCAGGGTATCTTGACAACGTGGCATTTACTTAAGTTGACATGAAATGTGGAATGCTACGCATCTCGCGGCGAGAGGTTTCTTCACGTTTCGCTCGCTTGTTATGAACTTTTTTTCTACAGAATTCTGCGCGCTCTTTTTTGCTTGTAGGTATAAAGTAGGTATAAAGCAAAAGTCTCTAATAGCCCTCAGTTGACCATTATAACCGCAAATGAAATTCAATAGATTAAGTTTTGATATGTTGCGATCAGAATACTTATAGATCTAAGTAACTATTGTCATATTAGTATAAGATAATTAAGGATATCATTTTTGTTCCGTAAAACGGACAAGGCTAGCTCAGTCCATCTGAACGAGGTCCAAGTAGTTTTCTTTCTTCAAACACATACTGTATAAGGGTCTGAGATGAGTTTATTGCTTTTTGCCCATGCAAAGGCAACCATAATATACTACGTATATTTTCTTGGAAGAATAACTTGTCAAGTGAATCTTGTTGGGTTTGAAACATATGTTGAATGTTATTTATGGTTTCCTTTGAATAAATACAAAATAGTTGAGAGATTTCTAAATATCACCCAAACGATGGAATAACATCACATTCTTGGCCAGATACAATTTGACACTGGGCTTCCCTCATGTCACGTGATACACTAGCTATACGTGGACGTTCATTTTTGAGTTTTGTTCTGTTCAGTTGTGTCACGTGATATGCGGAACGCTGGTAAAGATATATGTTATTTGAAATCTTCACTTTCATTATGAGTTGAAGAGTTATCATTGTTCTTTATGATTGATAGTCAATTATCACTATTTCTCAACTAGTCTTTGGATGCTGAAAATATCAAGTAAGTTTTATGTCATTTAGTTAGGTCCAGATCCTATTTTCATTCACTTTCATTCATTTATTATCCATCTGATAATAAACATAGTTAATACAGTCAGGCAACCGAATAGTTTGATTTATGGACCTCTTTCCTATCCCTTTTCCAGATTTATCCGAGATTGAGAATACAGTTTAACCTAATTCATTGTTTCAAATAATAACTAAAGAGTGTCTCAAAGTAGAGTAATAGACTTTGATTAAAGAGAATGCAAGTTCAGATATTTTACTAGTGCGATGCATATACACGTGGATGTGTCACAAGCTGATAGCTGGGACTTCAGATATAAAAGGTAAGTTGATTATGATATATTGTAAATGATTATGTGGCATTTCAATATGACTTATTCAAGAACCTCCTTGTCGACCTGTCTCGCTCGGCAGGAAATACTTTTTGTTGGAAATTACAATTATACCGGGTGACACAGGTTATCGGGCCACCCCTGTAACTTCTGCATTCGTCAACGGATTTTTCTGAAATTCGGTACAGTTATATAAGCAACTATTTCGGATTTGATCACATTACAATCCAATATGGCGGACTTCCGGTTTTTCTGGAAATGCCAGAAATTTTGTTTTTTCAAATGGAACACTCTGTATATTTTTACATATTCAAGTTCAACAGGTCAAAACAAGTGCAATCTTGATGTCAAATGTCATTCATTCCACAGCCTACCTAGTTGAAAGATTATTTTAACTGCAAGGAAATTCATAAACTAGTTGTTGATTTTTGAATGTATACAATTTGTTACTGCACCGAAAAACAAAAATGATATGTCATTTTGTTCCTTAATGTATGTTCTAGAGAGACGGGTAGGTGGCCCATAAGGGTTCCATTTGAAAAAAAATAATTTTTGATCAAGAAGTGATGTGGCTGAATTGATTCCTGGATAAGTGACACAAAAAATAATTTTTCAGAAAAAATTATGTTCTTCTGTTATGTGTGACTCATTGTGAATAGTCTTGACCACATCTCATTTATCCACGACGTGAAATGAAAAAACAATTTTAATTCAATTTTTTTCGAAAAAATGACATTTGAAATAAAGATTGCACTTGTTTCGACCTGTTGAACTTGAATATGTAAAAATATACAGGGTGTTTCATTTGAAAAAACAAAGTTGCTGGCATTTCCAGAAATACCGGAAGTCCGCCATATTGGATTGTAATGTGATCAAATCTGAAATGATTGCTTATATAACTGTACCGAATTTCAGAAAAATCCGACGACGAAAGCAGAAGTTACAGGGGTGGCCCGATACCCTGTGTCACCCGGTATTAAATGAGGTGGTTTCAAGACAGGTTAATAAATTAGTGATCAAGATAGGTTAATTGCTTATCCGAGACCACCTCGTTTACAATAGGAATTATCTTTCGTGCGCTCCAAGAGATAACAAAAATACCATTTTCACGTACCTGTCGATCCGGAATAGTACGAGGACGAAGGCTGCAGACCGGGCACGACGTTGTTTTGCGCGGGCCCGACGGGTGCCCGTTGCATCACGCCCGCATTCGATGCCAAATAGTTGGCCTGGATCGTGGGGTCATAGGTCATGAAAACCTGCTGGCCCTGCTGAGATTGCTGCTGATACGCTTGACCCACTCCACCGGCTTTCGTACCTGATTAAATGATAATGATAAGGGGAAATTATACTTTCACATGTACCAAGAAAGGTGAGCCTTGCCAGTCATTTCTAGAAGAGATATATCTCGAAATATATGGCATTAGAATACCCTTTTGATATGCCACTATGTATACAATTCTGTAAATAATGATTATTTCAAATTTTTTGGGATTTTCTCTCCTCGTTTCTATAAAATACAAATATGAATATTATTTCAATATACGTGTAGTAAGGACAAATCAGATGATTTGCCCCAAAATGTCACTGCGTTTAAAGAATTTTCCTATCAGAGAGCCTAAAAGAAATATTCACTAGCTTGTCAGTGACAATTTGTATTGAAAAAAATTTTGAAGAAGGGAAATAAAGGTATATAGAAAAAAAATTAAATTTTCACTTATCTTTGGACGTTTCGGGACCGGTTCTGCTCCCGTTTTCAACATGAGAAGAGATTATTTCAATAGAGAAGTCGTATAATGTCTTGAAGCTTTTCAGTTTTCAATGACATTATACGACTTCGCTATTGAAATAATCTCTTCTCATGTTGAAAACGGGAGCAGAACCGGTCCCGAAACGTCCAAAGATAAGTGAAAATTTGATATTTTTTCTATATACCTTTATTTCCCTTCTCCAAAAATTTTTTCAATACAAATTGTCACTGACAAGCTAGTGAATTTTTCTTTTAGGCTCTCTGATAGGAAAATTCTTTAAACGCAGTGACATTTTGGGGCAAATCATCTGATTTGTCCTTACTACACGTATATTGAAATAATATTCATATTTTTATTTTATAGAAACGAGGAGAGAAAATCCCAAAAAATTTGGAATAATGAATGTACCACCTCCTCGATCAACATACAGACAGTATTTCTGTAAATAATGGTTTGCCCGTTTGCCAGATAACAAATGAGTACCGTAGTTATTGTCGATTATTCGACATTACAAATGTATAGATATTTATTACAACTGAATCAAATAAAGTGAAAGAGTTTGAACGTGTTATTCTTAATCATCGGTACAACAACAGGTTATGGGCCAGTTACAGGTCCGAAAGAGATTTAGAACAAAATATTTATTGTAAGTGACAGACGTTATTTCGCACTTTGGAAGCCACTGAAAGCAATTGGATTATTATAAGGAATATAATGGCGTCGGCTGTACAGATTTCGCATTTGAAGTGTTGATATTCTGTTAAATATTGTGAATCACTATGTACACAATTCTGTTAAGTATGATAATCCAGTTTGCCAGTTAACAAATGAGGAGTAGCGTAGTTATTGTCGATTCGCCATTACAAATGTATAGATATTTATTATAACTTTATCAAATGAGGTGAAGAGGTTTGAACGTGTTTATTGTTCTAAATCATCGGTCCAACAACACTCCACTCCACTAGAAGCAATTGGATTACACGGGATTACACGGAATTACCGGAATATAATGACGTCGGCTGTACAGATTTCGTATTTGAAGTGTTGATATTCTGGTAAATATTGAGAATCACTATGTATACAATTCTGTAAATTAAAATTGGCCAGTTTGCCTGATAACAAATGAGTAGTTATTCGCTACTACATATGTATAAATATTTATTATAACTTCATCAAATAAAGTGAAGAGGTTTGAACGTGTTTATTGTTCTAAATCATCGATGCAACAACAGGTTATGGGCCCAGTTACAGGTCCGGAAGAGATGTAGAACAAAATAGTTACTGTAAGTGGCAGAAGTTATTTTCACTTTGGAAGCCACTGGAAGCAATTGGATTCTAAATCATCGGTACAACACAAAATACCAGATTACAAGATTTTTTCCATCAATTCATCGTATAAAATATTATTGAAAACGCAAGGAACGAGCGAATTCAAACGATGAGACATGACCGCGAAACATGTGACGTCAATGCGCGAGCAATTTGGATTGGTAATGCCCTCACCTCCCCGTGGGTGTCAATAAAATGCACAATGGACTTAACAATGATACCAATTTGAACAGAAAGCTACCAATGATCATATAATAATTTGATTCAAATGGCCTGTTTCTGGTAATCCATTGATTCATTATTGATTATATTGTAGGTACCTAGTTTTGAATAAAAGGAATACACAAAATAGAATTTCGTGAGTATTGAGTGAATATCGAAAGAGTGATATAGTCATTGCAGTTGTGAATTTCGTTGTATTGTTGTTGGAATTGTATCAGTGCAGTATTTGTTTGATCTCTGTGATTATTTCAACTATGTCTTATCATTGTCATACTCCCGAGTGCAAAAGTGTTAGTGGAGATCCTGGAATAAGTTCATTTCAATTCCCCAAAGAGGAAAAAAGGTAAGCATCTGATTTTGAAATTCCGTCATTGTTTTGCTAACTCAATTTTCGAATAAATCTATGATGATATTTTGATAATATGATGATAATGACAGTAGAGTGAACGAAAAAATGTAACAAGGAATAACAAAAACATTGATGATCTTTTGTTTTCTAACTATACATAGACAGTGTGTCTGCTTGAGTTCGCACCATATGGAAAACTTTTTTGGAATCGAAACCAATTTCAACAAACAAAATGAAACCAAAATTGGTGATTCTCAAAAATATGTAGAATTCGTACTTTTATTCAGTTTGTATCGTTTTGTTCCATCTATAACATTATGTTCTTTTTCTTCACAGTCGTAATAAAGTTTTCATCAAATTGTGATGTTTCCTTTACGATTCATAAAACATATTCGATAAAAGGTCAGTTGAAATTTATGGCAACTATTCGCACTTTTCAATATTTTTTCTTGGGAATTAGAATATGTGAGTCGTATGTTTGTGGACTGAGATTGCTCCTCGTACATTACGCTCCAGTTGACATTCGGGCACAGAAGATCAAGTTCTGTGGACGTGCAGTCGATACGCATTCAATCAATCAATCAATCAATCAATCAATCAATTTATTCAATTCAATTCAGATACATACATACATGTTCTTTTATATTGTTAATGTTACATATCGTAAATAAATAGTATCTTATTACATTAAATTGCGAAAGAAATTATCAATAACTAAATAAGTAAATAAGTGGTGGTGTTCAGTTCTTGGGAGACGCCTAAGCAGAGCTTGTGTTGCGTATTTTCCCAGATCTGGACACAACCATGAAGGTAAATAGAAAAAAAATAAGATGAAGGAAACTATTCATTCATTTCAGTAAAAAATATGAATTAAGAATCAACAAAAATCAAAGATCAACTCACAGGAGGATCGGACAAAATACTCAGGCAAAAGGGAGACAGCTTCAAATAAGATATCAATAAATCATTCGGACATGGTTCAGTAGATAGATTCAAGTGTTTGTATTAGGGAATCAAAGTTGTGATCGATTGGAGAAAAAAATAAAACGCCTGCCACAAAGATCAAAGATCCCGACGCCAACTGAACCTACTCCTGAAAGGATGATATACTGTGGTTACAGGCCGGGCCGATCAATTTGGCCTATATTTTGCTGGCCGTTTTTTCTGCCGGTGAGTGTATTTTGAAAAAAAAAACACACCGATGGCACTGATCTGCTGCCCGCTCGGCTTCACCGAGGCCGACATCAAACTGTTGCTCGTCGAGCTGATCAGTGAAAGTTCCTCCAATTATTTTGAATATTTCGCAGAATTTTTGCAGAATCTGCGAATCAACAATGCGCGGTACGCCAGGAGCAGACAAATTAGCGCTGTTGCCACGCCCTTCTCGTCATTAGTAAATGGAATGATTAATTATAACATTAGATTGTTTATGCAACGCAAATGCCATTTAACATAACATCAAAGTTATTGTGGCATCAGTTGATTGTATGATTCATTTTTCTTTATGCAACCGGCCCTCAGGTTAACATTTCTACATATAAATATACAATTAGATAGGAATTTCACCAAAATCGGACAAGAATTAGGAAGTTTACAGGGCGATCAATTCGGCCTAAATTTTGCTGGGCGTTTTTTTTTTAATAATGAAGATGATGGAAAGCCCTAATTTCGAGTGACAACGGAAAATGACAAAAACTCCACCGCCCCGCGTGAGAGTCGAACTCACAACCTTTGGGTTACATGCCCATCGCTCTGAGAAAAAGTATCTTGGGATTTGGTTTGATGATAAATTGAAGTGGGACAAACATATAAATGTTTTGAAAAAAAAAATATCTCCTATTATTGGAGCCCTGAGATGTCCCAAGCTGCATAAAAAAGTTGCAAATATTATTCTATATTCTCATATACTCAGTCGTATTAACTATTTGATAAATGTTTGGGGATACTGTTCAAAAAACAATTTTAATTAAATATCTGCATGATATAAAAAGAAATTGAAAGTACTGTATCGTTTACCATATGATACACCAACAAATCAATTATATAAAATAACTGAATCATTCTCATTAGAAGAAATGTTCAAAATTGAAAGACTGAAAATTACATACAATATCATAAATAAAAGATTGAAATCTAATTTTATTTTAACACGAAACAATGAAATTCATAATTACCAAACTAGACAACATGGTTTATTTCATCTTGATATATGGCTAATTCTTCTATAGGCCAAAAAAGATTCACCCACGCTGCTCTCTTGGAATATAACAAATTACCAGATAATATAAAAAATTGCAGAAATACAATAAAATTCAAATACCAACTTGAAAAATTTATCATTTCTGAACGAAATAGATGATTTTTTTTCCTCAACTTTTGATTCATATTCAAATTGATTTTTGCTCACCAATATGAAATGATTTGTCAAAATTTAATACTTAATTGTTCTAAAAAAAAAAAATTGTTCTAAAATTGTTCTATCCGTCATTCGGTTGCCCCCTTACGAGCAACCCTCAGCAGTCTTCGAAAGTCTTGTGCAAGCAAGGAATGACGGGGGCCTTACCTTTTAACGTGTGATCCCAATCACTTTCTTAGGCCATCAGAAAAAGTCTGCGTTCGTGGAACTCGAACCCACGATCGATACCTCGACGTGAATCGATATTGAAGCATCGAAGCACTGAGGTACGCCGGAATGTTTTCAAATATTATATTTATTAGTTTGTCATAATTGTATAGTTTCAGGTATTATTGTTAACTATACTTCCTTATACCAGAACTTTATTCTGCCTGGAAGTAACATTTTCAATAAATGAATAAATAAATAAATAAATAAATAAAATCGGCAGGAGGGTCGAGTTCTCATCACACAGTGACTGTATTTTGAAAAAAAAACACACACAAACTCACCGATGGCGCTGATTTGCTGCCCGCTCGGCTTCACCGACGCCGACATCAAACTGTTGCTCGTCGAGCTGATCAGCACCGTGGTCGGATTGCTGAGCTGCTGGCTCTGGCCGAACGGCGTCTGCGCCGACAAGCGGAAGCTGTTCATGTTCTGGTAGAGTTCGGGTGGGGGCGGGGCCTGGGCGGCCTGCGGCGGCGGAGGGTGGGGCGGCGTCGGCAGGTAGACGCTAGGCGTCGTGTAGGGACTGCTCGCCGTCTGGCCCAGGCCGTGATAGTTGGCGTACTGCGAGAACTGCGACCTGGAGGAGTAACTGGAAGGGGGAATGGAAGAAGACGAGGTCACTTTCAGCTCAAAATAGTTATTTATTGTACCAAATGATGTATTTCGTACAAAAGAATTAATAATTGTTTTTATTCGTCTTAGCAGAGCGCTTTCGACTATCAAGTCATCATTGAAGTATTTCATATAAATGACTAATGTCCAATATATTATCACTAGTAATATCACAAGAGAGTGAGAATAAATTGAGAATATTTCGACAGATTTTCGAGCACTTGTTGCCAGGCATTAGACACGAGAGCCCAAAGGGCTCGAGTGACTATTGCCGAATGGCAACAAGTTCCACAAACTATCTGGAGAAATATTCTCTAATTTATCGAACTCCCGTGTGGTATTTGATAAATTATTTTTTGGTTCTTTTAGGAAAACCTCACGTCAAAAGCATAATTTTATTTCAACAGTCAACAGATGAGGACAACACAGAATAAAATAAAATAAAAATCAGCTATTTACATTGAAATTTTGGACATGAAAAATACAGTTATTATAAATATTGTGCCCTTGAGTGGAGGAGTCTGCAATATTGGTATGTTCTGTTGTGTTAGAGGTAGCTATGCGTTCTCCACTTCCTCTTAAATCTCCAATCAAATTTGAATAATGTTCTTTATCCAACTGTAAGTAAGGCCTCATTTTCAATCTAACTCGCTAACATTATATGTGTAATGATTGTGATGAACATGAATGTGCTGCTACACTTGACCAATAGACCATACTTCAAAAGTGCAAGATGTTCCTTGAACCTACACTCATAAGTTTTTTAGTTTGGCCAACATATGTTCACGACTGATAAATTTCCGTTTTTTTTTCGATATTCAGCTCAACTAACCTGCCTTGGCCGGAAAGCTGGTCCAATTGGAAGGCTCCGTACAAGCCGGCGGCCGTCTGGACGGCGTTCTGCAACTGCTGCGTCGAATTATAGACCAGGGGAACGGTGGGCGGAGAGGGGATGGCCGATATGCCGTACTGGGTGCTCCCCGACAGGCCGGTCTAGAAATTCAGAATCTGCTATTATTCATATACCATAATGATTTATTTCTTCTTGAAGCGTTTTCTAATTGCCGAATCACAGAGCGCACTAGCACAGAGCAGTGGAATAAAAATCGAGAGTTGGTGCGACTAGGGTCCCTTGATGTAAATTGAGCACTTTGTCATCTTAACTGGGTACGGGCAGATCATAGCTTCTTTCTCTTTCAATGATCTAGTGACATTTCTGTCATGTCACATTCATAAGCTTTAAATAAATCTTACAAAATTTCAATTAGTACTCAATCTTAATACGACATTATTCAACTCTGTTTTGGAAGGATGGTAAAATGTGCTGCGCTATGCTTTATCAACATATGCAAATGATCTTGGAACATGGAAAGTGATGAGACCAAATTGAGAAAATCGGTAAATAAATCAACTCAATGTGCCCAAGTCCACAAGTTTTTGAATGCATTTTCGTAGAAATAGTTTTGATTTAAACGAAGAATTAAAAGAAGAGTCATATGACCTACCTTTTATAAAATTATACCTACATTCAGAAAATATCCAGTGTTCGTAAAACACTGCAAAAATGATACACAACATGAATATATAAATATACAGCATATATGACATATGAGCTTTGAATACCTACATCAAAGTTTTCGCCATTTCTCAACCATAAGGCTCAGTCTGAAAACCAAATCCATTTATTCATATAAAGCCTATAGGTATAGTCTCATTTGGTTGAACTTTCATAAAAAATTTTGCACACTGCCTCACAAAGATCATGCAGAAGTTGGAAAATCAAAAACTCGAAAATTATCATCATCATTTGGATATAATATGTAGCGTTGAAGCAGAAATTCCATGTGGAAATTACATATGGATAGGCCAATGCCCTCAATATAACCTAAAAAACAATAAAAACACTTTAGAGTGAGAGGAGACGGGGATCTGCCCGTGCCCAGTTAAGATTACAAATATCAAAATTAAGTCCAAAGGAATCGGTTACAAACGTAGATAAATACATACATACATACAGGTGAAGCTAATAAAAGGGTGTTTAAGCAAACCAAACAAACCACCCACCTGGTACCCGATGTGCTGGTTGGCAGTGTACTGCGGCCCCATGCCCACGCCGGCGCCTAGTACCGCCTGCATCGGCGGCGGCGGCGATAGCGGGTTGCCCATCAGGCCGGCAGCGGTCTGCGCCATATTGTGCGGCGGCTGGTGGCCGCCCGAGCCGCCCAGAGCGGGCTGACCCACCCCGCCCGACACCTGTTGCGTCGGCTTCACCTGCAACAATAAGAATGTATTCTTCGACAATAATAAAGTATGAATATGTTAAAGTGAATGAGCGAGTTTCCCTCGAAATAATCATTGAATTATTATTCAACTACCTAGTATTAGGATCTCTTGATGGAAATTGACGTAAAAGTCATCTTAACAGGGTACGGACAGATCATACCTGCATTCTTTTTTAATGATCTAAAAACTTTAGTTTGGTCTACTGGCATCCCTAACATTGCTGCACGTCACGTCCATGGGCGCTACAGAAAATCATTTAAAATTTTAATAATAGGTATGTACAGGGTATTTACTTGTTGAGGAAGAACATATGGGGATCGAGTTTTGTAATTATGATCCGATTCTATTCAAAATTGGTATCGGGGGTTTTTCGCGGTGGGTGGGAGATAATGATTCTTTCGTGAAAATAGTAAAATTCAGGATGACGGATCGAATATGGCGAAAGATAATTCTAATTAGATCTGATTCTATTAAAGTTTGGTATCTGGGGGTTTTCGGGGTCGAACTTTATGATTTTTTTGTCAAAATTGGGATATTCAAGATGGTGGATTCAATATGGCGAACGAGCTTTGTAATAAACAGTTGTTTGAAAAATCAATTGGACACGCGTTCTTAGATACTTAGTCGAATTAGGAAGAAGTAGAACGTAAATAGTAGTTCAAAAAACCGAGATAGATGGCCGAGCTGAAAACGAGTATAAAATGAATAGAATCTTGAAAAACTAAAGAAACAGGCTTTTATAGCCGAACTGAAAAGAAGTAGGAAATGAAATGAATAAAGTGTGCTGGTAAATATTTAACTAAAAGAATATTTTCTAGAAATATTGTGCTTAGCAAAACGACGTTTTCCAAGTCAGCTAGTAATCTAGTAGTTATATTTATTATTCATTCCCAATACTCGTGTAAAAAAACTGAAGAGATAGATTGCCGAGCTGCAAACTAGTATAAAATGAATAGAAACTTGAAAAACTAAAGAAACACGCTTTTATGAGTAGCGGAACTGAAAAGAAGTAGAAAATGAAATAAAGTGTGCTGGTAAATATTCAACTAAAAGAATAGTTTCTAGAAATATTGTGCATAGCAAAACGACGTTTTCCAAGTCAGCTAGTAATCTAGTAATGATATTTATTATTCGTTCCCAATACTCTTTGTATATTGTTGAAAATAGAAAATATTGACAGTGTCAAATGATCTCTGAAAGTTAATGATTATAAAATTTAAGAAAATAAAAACATTTTACGATTAAATAAGGATATTATTTACTGAATGGCGAAATGTGCGTTAGGCTGTGCCAATCAGTTAGATGGCAAATTTCAATTTGTAAGCTTTTCAACAGATCGGAAAATCGGTAAATTGAGCAAAATATGCGAGGTAAAAATGATAAAAGATCACGTATACTTTTTCATTGTGCTTATCACCCTACAAATTTTTAGATGCACTAGTGCGGAAAAAACTTTTTCCGCCTACCTCTATCCAAAGTATTTCCATGCCTCAATGTAGGGAGCAACGTCGTACTTTTCCTCTCTAGGGGGAAAAGTACTTGTTCTACCTAAGTTTCTCATTTTAGATACCCACATCGAGGTTTTCACCATTTCTCAATCATAAGGCTCAGCTCATAGTTAAACTACTGCTCAGCTTGAAATCAGAATTCATTCAGTCAATTCAGTCAACCCTGGTATACAGTCTAAGAACAGTCTCTTTTGGTGAAATATATTAAGCTATTAGTACAAATTATATGTTCCCTAGCTCGCAAAGATTATGCTGGAGTAGTAAACTCTAAAACTAGAGGATGGTTCAACTGTATCTTGGTATAGTTGAATCAGGAATTTCATATGATACGCCAATGACCTCAATATAACCTTAAAAACAACAAATGTCAAAAATCTAGTGTTCATCTCCAGAATTGAATGAGGATGGAACTATATAACTGTTTCACAAACACTTTAGAGTGAGAGGAGACGAGGATCTGTCTGTACCCTGTTGAAATGACTTTAACGTCAATTTCCATCAAGGGACTCTAGTAATCAAATATCTATCAGTCTAATTCTGTGATTTGATTTTGAAATTTGAAGTGAAATAGAAGATAAATTGACTTGCAGTTCTTTCACTTCATTCTCGGAGACCGTGTTATTGGCTTAAAGAAGATCCGGCAACTATTGCCTCCAAGTTCAATGATTTTTTCGTTAAGGATCCTATCGAATTGGTTAAACATATACCTAGAAGTAACAATAGTGTATTTGATAATGAAAAGGATTTCAACCCTTACACAATGTTTTTGAACCCATTTACAGAACATGAATTACTCTCATTGTTGAAAAACAAACTAAAAAATAAAAAATCGTCTGGTCCAGATGACATACCGATGTTTATATTGAAAATTCCTTTGATAATATTACTATTAACAACTGGTAAATACGTCATTTGTGATTTTCCACACAAGTTAAAAACTGGTAAAGTCACTCCTATTTTCAAAAAGAAAGACACAACCCTTGTGGAAAATTATCGCCCTGTAACAGTCCCTTGTGGACTCTCGAAAGTTATCAAATATGCCTTTTTGGAACGTCTTAATTCGTTTCTTGATAAATATTCTGTCTTCAGTAATATGCAGCATGGATTTCGTGTTCTGAAAAATCTACTAACACAGCTATGTTCTCATTGCTGAACAAAACCATAGAATACGTTGTTTCAGGTGAATGTCCAGCGGTAATTCTTTGTGATCTTAGTCGAGCTTTCGACTGTGTCAAACATCAAAAACTGAGGTAGAAATTATAAATGTATGGAATAAGAGGCGTATGTCTTAGTTGGTTCTCGTCATTTCTTCACAATGAATGTTTTGGCTGGTTTAAGATTCAGAATTCTGATCACCCTGTATCTGTTCCGATTGAATATCAGTGAATAGTAAATGAAGAGTTGAGATAGGGACATGTGAGCCGTTTTGGACGATAATGAATAGTTTTGGCACAAACAAATCCTGAAGTTGAAAAATCTCAATTTTGAAGACCCTATATCTCTGTAATCATTCCCGATAGACTCCAAGTTTGATGTATTGATGAAATCAGCTCTCCAGGGAGAATCTGAAAATGCAATGAAATACAGGATATTCTATTTGATATAACAAAGTTGTTGCTACTTTTTGATAGAAACGGCAACACTGCACTGTTGAAATTATTTTAAATGAAGTGAGAGCGTATTCTAAAATATAAGCATGCATAATTTCATGTATTTCTGCTGACTGATTCTCGATATAGATATAGTGTAAGCTTGTCTTGATATAACCTGTATGTTTCGTACCGTTTTTGTATTTTTTCCGTTCGAGGAATACTCTCTTCTGATTTTCGTGCTTTCTGTTCGAAACTGTTTTTTTTTCGATCAAGAAATGTTTTCTTCTGATTTTCGTGCTTTCTGTTCGAAACTGTATTTTTTAAGAATCTATCATCTTTAATAACTGTGATACAGAACGTAATCTCGATTTTGGCAAAATCTTCATCTATGGTCAGGTCATAACTTTTGAACCACTGTGTATAATCGATTCATACTTGGTAGGTATATTCAACTCATATCACTCATCAAAACTAAATAGGAATCGAATTTAGAATCCAGATCCATCTTCAGGCAAAACAGAAAACTTCTACTTTCTCAATAACACTCTCTATATTAGAATTTTGTAGATATGTTCTGATATCTGCAGAGACCAGGAAAAATCAATGAATTGGTCTACTTTTCAACAGTGCGCATCCAATTTGGAAAATAGAATTTTTTTGAACTCGTTATAACGAGAGATTTTAGGGAAACAATTATTTTCAGCCTGTGTAAAATTCTTCCATATCGTGAGTGATTTGAAAATACCACCTGTGTACGAAATATCTCCCACTCCCCCCCTTGTTCGATTTTATAATCATCATTAGTCATAGATAAATCATTTTTATTTGTTCGGAAATTAATCGGTTAGCAGCATGATTCACCTTATTAGTAATTCTTTCGGGGCCAAGTGGTAAATCAAGACAGTCTCATTTTAGAGGTCATCACGTACGGACGAGTTTTGTGATCGACATCGAAAAATACGCGAAAGGAATTATTTATCGTTCCGAACTGAGTGTTCCCTAAAAACTGAGTGATCGTATCGATTCGTGTATAGTGTTTTTGTATTCCTCATTCGATTTAATAATAATAATATCGGGATCGTGTGTTGCTCTAGTGTTTCGTGTTTTTTCATCAAAGCCTAACTTTTTTCATGCTGGTGAGTGCAGAAAAATTCTCTCAATTTTTCCTCATATTTATCTGTATTCATTCAACTTCATTCTATACACATACAGGGCATGACACGACGAGCTTACACTATCTTTAAATCGAGAATCAGTCGGGAGAAATCCATGAAAATGTGCATGCTTATATTTTGGTATATGCTCTTTTCATATAAGATATGTTCGACAATGCAGTGTTGCCGCTTCTACTAGAAACTAGTAGCAACATTGATATTTCGATCGGAACACCCTGTATTCCATCGCATTTTGAGATTTTTCCTGAAGAATTGATTTCATCGATATATCATACTTGGGGTCTATCGAAAATGATTACAGAGATATAGGGTGTTCAAAATCGATATTTTTCAACTTTAGGTTTTTTTGTGTCGAAAATATTCATTATCGGTCAAAACGGCTCACATGTCCCTATCTCAACTTTTGTTTCACTATTTACTGATATTTAATCGGAACACATACAGGGTGGTTCAAGATTCAGAATTCTGATCACATGCATATTTTCATGGATTTCTCCTGACTGATTCTCGATATAGAGATAGTGTTAGTTCGTCGTGACATACCCTGTATGTTTCGTACCGTTTGTTGTATTTTCTCCGATTAAGGAATACTTTCTTCTGATTCTCGTGCTTTCTGTTCGAAACTGTATCTTTTAAGAATTTAGCATCTTCAATAACTGCGGTGATACAGAACGTAATCTTGATTTTGGCAAAATCTTCATCTATGGTCAGGTCAAAACTGTTGAACCACTGTGTATAATCGATTCATACTTGGTAGGTATATTCAACTCATATTTCTCATCAGAACTAAATATGAATCGAATTTAGAATCCAGATCCGTCTTCAGGCAAAACAAAAAACTTCTTTTTTCTACAAACGTCAGTAAAAGTATAATTTTTGACGCATGCTGTCAGTGTCTAAAATGTCAGTTCATGACACTAGTGCTAAAAGTGATTTATTTTTATGAGAAAATATGTAAACATAATTCAAAATGAAGTGTTTATTGAATTAAAAGTACAATTAGCGAAACTAAAATTATAATACGAAACTCCATGGCCAGTCTCATTGGTAGATGTGACAGAATTTATTTTCGTGAAGGGCAGAGAGCAATATTATCTGCCGAAGTTTTCGACAAAATTTGATCTGCAATGTTCTGTTTCCTTTGTAGCGAGTCTTCTATTTAACCCTCTGCTACTGTACTGGACTTCCATCCACCATGTCAATTGTAGTAAGACTAGCACCAAAGTCCGCCAACAAACTAGCTGAGGAACGTCGGAAACAATGTCCAGTATATAGATGGGAATCAGGCAAATTAAGAAATTCGGCAATTTTGGCAGGCATCTTACCAAATGTGTTGATTCCAACTGGAGTCCTGGCACATTCATTTTTAATGCATTTTATAAAAACTCTAGAATGATTAATATCCACTGGACGAAGGGCTATGTACTTTTTGTAGTAGTTCATATACAATGTACCACTTACAACAAAGGTGCGTTGCACATTAGTTTTTGTGTCTGGTATATGCACAACTAGTGAAGTTCCGGAATCCTCGGAATTCAATGTCAAATCGCACAGTTCTTCTCGACGATAGGCTCCAAGAACACCAAAAATCACAGCAACTTTCTGCATTAGATATATTTCATCTGCGGCTTCTGCGAGAAATTTGTCGATTTGTTCTCTTGTCAATACTTTTGACTTTTTCGGTCGATATCCTTCACCCTTTCGCTTCAAAAAAGCCACAAGCTTGTGATATCTGCTTATGTCATGATCATTTATGTTCATCATCGACTTTAACATAGAGTAATTCGACCAAAGCGTTGACGATTTCCATATTTTGGACTTTTGATCACACCATTTCAAGATACCCACATCGAGGTTTTCACCATTTCTCAATCATAAGGCTCAGCTCATTCAGCTCATAGTTAAACTATTGCTCAGCTTGAAATCAAAATTCATTCAGTCAATTCAGTCAACCCTGGTATACAGTCTAAGAACAGTCTTTTTTGGTGAAATATATTAAGCTTTTAGTACAAATTATATGTTCCCTACCTCGCAAAGATTATGCTGGAGTAGTAAACTCTAAAACTAGAGGATTGTTCAACTATATCTTGGTATAGTTGAATCAGGAATTCCATATGGAAATTACGTATGATACGCCAATGACCTCAATATAACCTAAAAAACAACGAATGTCAAAAATCTAGTGTTTATCATTTTAGTAGGTACTAAATGGTGTTCATCCCCAGAATTGAATAAGGATGGAACCATATAACTGTTTCACAAACACTTTAGAGAGGAGACGAGGATCTGTCCGTACCCTGTTAAGATGACTTTAACGTCAATTCCCATCAACTCTATGCATAATAACTGCCTGAAATGTTGGATGTTCTAGTAGGCTGTGCGAAATATCAGTCTACAAATGAATTGAAGTTGCTCACTGTCAAATTCATCATCTGCAAAAATCCAATATGGCAAGTGTTGGGTATGATAATCAAGAGTTTGTTGTATTTAATTCGCTAATTCATTTGTCGATAGATATTTTGAGTGAGCGCACGCGCATTGTGTCTTTTTCGAACGCATCGACCGACCATTGCCTTACAAAATATACGCTATTCATATGGCTACCACACATTTTTGTAGACGTCACTGACAGTAAAAAGATTGCCAGCAGGATCATCAGTTATTAGGGCTACGTTCAGCAGGTCGGACCATGGTCAATTCGTCTCAATTCGTTCAGACCGTAGTCAGACTATGAATCAGACCGTAGTCAGACTATGGATCAGACCGTGGTCCATGTAGTCTCATTTAAAATGAGGCCAAGCATGGTCTAAATCGTTCAGTCCATTATTTCCGTCAGTTAACGTCAGTTATATTTGACATGGATTTTGTGACATGCAAATGCATTTGAATTTGAACGAATCTTGCTTTGCCGCTGAACGTAGCCTAGCTGTGATACCAATCAATAATAGTGACAGTATTGCCTCGCAGTGATGATATGCGCAATAAAACGAATTAAGAGTACTGGTGACAAACACACCACATCTTTTTAGATGGAACAAACGTTAGAAATGGATGATCAGAAGCGAGAGAAAACGCTGCTTACGCCCGAACTCACCTTACATACATTTGCCTGAGCAGTCTGGCTCGGAGACGGGCTGTACACCTCGTGGTTGTCCTCGCTGCCGTCCTTGCTCTGATTGAACACGTTCGAGTCCAGCGGCGCACCGCCGAAGGTTATCTGAGTGTCTTCGCCCTCTTGCTCCGACGTCTCCCACACCTAAGAGATTATGTATGTAGTATGTATGTTATTTTAAAAATGAATGAATGAAAATAAAAAAATATCTACTACTCTATACCGGGCAATGAACTCAATATAAACAACTAGAAGGGAGACGGCCGTTCTCTCGAATAGCACAAAGTGTGTCAGGGGCAGCTGCAACAAAGATAGCATGATTTACGGTAACCTGTCTCTTTCCTACTCTTGTTGTTTAAGGGTGGACTGGTGTTAACGTTTATTTTTATCTAATAATTAAAGTACTTTAGATATTTTTCTCTCATCTAAACAAGCAAGAAAGTGAAGACATAAGTTCATTGTCTTTGTTTATGTGAAATATCTATTCATTTGGCGTGTTTTGTTTTATGAAAAGAACTGAATTTGTTGGTGTGAACACTGTGAACTGATTGTTGAGAAGGTTTTGATAAACAAATGGTAATTTATTGTGTTGCCTTTGGATGCAAGAACGAGCAAGACAAAAGGAAATTGTTATTCAATGAGTAAGTTGAATATTGTTCTGACATTTAGAAAATATAGTTCTTGAAATGATCATCAGTTAGGTGTACAATGTTCCCAGTCTCAAAATGTGTTCAAAAACTATACCTATATTATTTGACAAATTTAAATACTTCCATGACTTTACCATAAACATATTGAGTAATATTATTTGTTGCAGTTTTGAATTATTTCTATTTTTATTTTTTATTTTCAATTGCATTTCCTCGTTGAACCCAGCACTGGATCCAACGCCCCATAAGTCGAAACTTGTGCGGGGTTAGGAAAGCATAGAATTACATTTACAAACATCCATGGCCTAACTGGGATTCGAACCCATGCCTCGGTGGAGTACGAACTCGACCACCGGGCCGCCTGGATATCAATCAATCAATCAAAATATAATTTGTTGTCTGAAGAATAAAATTCTCATTGACAAAGTCGAACATGCTTATATATATATACATATAAAGAAATAAAGTAGAGTATAAAAATGAAACCCTACATTGTATAAATAGAACTAACACAATATAAAACACATTAAAATTACAGAAACTGTTGAAACCAAAGAATATAGTTAAAAGTTTTAAATCGAAAAACAACAGGATATCAGCAATGTGAATTATTTTAGGAATTTTTCTGAAAAGAATTCGTCTAAGGAGTAGCAAGCTTTTTCAATTAGAAGACTTTTGACCAATTTTTTAAACATTTTTGGGTTATTGATACATTTTACCTCATCAGGCATATGGTTATACAATTTTCTGCCATTGTAAATGAAAGAGTTTATTATTAATGTAGAGCTAGGTATTGGTATATTTAAATTATGTGCCCGTCTTGTATTATAGTGTGTAGTGATATGATTTTCGTTTTTATATTTTCGGTGTATGAGACATACCGTTTCCAGAATGAAAATACATGGAAGAGGTAATATTTTGTGCTCTATGAATAATGGCTTGCAAGAATCCCTGAATCCAGCTCTACACATGTATCTCAGGCTCTTTTTTGTAGGACAAAAATCACATCAAACAAAGTTTTACTACATGAACCCCAGAAACAAATTCCATATCTTAAATGTGAATCAATGAGAGCAAAGTATACACTTTTGGCCATTTCTCTACCAAGTTCCCATGATGTTGTTCTGACTGCATAACAGCCAGATGACAACTTTTTCCTTAATTTGTCAATATGGTCACTGAACTTCAATTTTTTGCAATGTGTAAACCTAGAAACTTCGTATCTGTTCTATTACTAATTACTTGATTACCTAACTGAAGTTCTCCCTGCAGAGTGTAATTGAAAGTTAGGACACTTGTTTTAGAGATGTTACAGGACAACATATTAGAATCGCACCACTTTTTCACCTTAGCAATATCGTTACTAATTGTTTGTTGTAAGTCATAACTATTTCTACTGTGCCAAAATAGTGTGGTGTCATCTGCAAATTGGGTAAATTTTCCTATAATATCGATCGACGCTAGGTCATTGATGTATAACAAAAAGAGGATAGGTCCAAGCACAGATCCTTGAGGCACTCCCCAACTAACCTCCAATCTACATGATATATTACCTTGAAGGGACACACTTTGGGTTCTTTCGAATAAGTAAGAAGTGAACCATTGCAAAACTAAATCCCTGAAACCATATCTTTCTAATTTTTGAAGCAGAAATTTGTGGTTGACACAGTCGAAAGCCTTAGTCAGATCACAAAAAACTGCAGCCGCAGCTTCCTTATCATTAAGTTTGAGATACACATGTTGTAATAGATTGAAAATTGCATCATCAGTACTCTTAGCAGTCTGGAAACCAAACTGGGCAGAATTGATGCTGTTATGCTTATTTAAAAAAAATCATCATTCTCTTTTTTACAAGTTTTTCAACTATTTTCGACAGTGTGGGTAGCATTGAGATAGGCCTAAAGTTTGCGGGATCATTTGTATCACCACCTTTGTATAAAGGAATGACGATTGCGTTTTTAAGGCACCGAGGAAAAACTCCTGTAGTGAACGAAATATTAATGGCATCCACTAATGCCTCAAGAGCGGTGTCCGGTTGGTTCAGAAATATTTTATTGACAAATCATCCCATCCAGACGCATTTTTATTTTTTATGTCATCAAAAGTTTGTTTCAATTCAAGAATGTCTGTGGGAGCAAAATAAAATGATTCAGAAATAGAAATATTATTCATGTAAGATAATGGATCTGTAGTGGGGTGAATATCTTTTGAAAGGATGTCTGCCACCGAACAATAATAGCCATTATTAGTGATATTCTTTGAATCTGAATTAACTGAAATATTTCACTTGAACTGAATTGAATCAGTTAATATGCGTTCTTTCAAATGACGTCCACTACATGTCAACTGATTCAGTTCAGTTCAAATGAAATGTGTCAGTTCGTTCAGAACGAAAGAATATCACTAATATCATCACTTCCAAGATCCGTCTTTATAGGAATTGACTGATTTTTTCTTCCCCCTCGTAGTTCCTTAATAATGGCCCAGCTCTCTTTCTGCCTATCTCCAGATTTCTCTATTTTTTGTCTATAATGTATCTGTTTAGCAATTTTGAGAGTTCCCCTGTAAATTGATCGATATTTGTTATAATATGAGCTGAAGGCTTCATTACCGATGGCAAATTTTCTTACCGAGTGTAAGAATCGCAGATTTTGTGCTGATACTCTAATACCTCTAGTTATCCACGGTTTTCTAGGTTTACTCTTGATATTTCTGATTGGGAATGCCCTGTTAAATACATACGACAACATCGAATGGTATTGCGTTAGAGGATCATCTCCTCTCATGACTTCACGCCAGTCAAGTGCATTACAAAGTTCCTTGAATTTGTCAAATTTTTTTTTGCAATATATTCTTCCTTTATAATATTCTTTTTTACTAGGGATTCTGAGATCATGTGGCACAGTGCATAAAATTGCTTCATGGTCTGAAAGACCAGCATTGGCTACATAACATTTTATATTCTCAATATTTGAACAAACATAATCTATAATTGAACTAGAATATCTGGAATAACGAGTGGGAGAATCAATATGCATAACTAGATCAAAACTATTCAATATATTGTCTAGTGACTGCGTTGCATTTGAAGTTTTATCTCCATAATCTATGTTGAAATCACCTGTGAGTATTACAGAGGCATTATAAGGAATCTGAACTAACAGTATTTCTAGTCTTTCTAAAAAAAGATTGACATTCGATGAAGGTGAGCGATACAGGCAAATTATAATTATATTTGAATTTTTGCAATGAACAGCGCAAAATTCAAACTCTTTTTCTACTAGCATTGAATCAAAATTTCTCATTTCATTAACATCAAGTTTGTATGTTTTATCTGTATGAAACGGAATCAGTGTGCCCCCATGCTGACTGTAGGTCCTTGAGTATTTAGAGATAGTATTGTAGTTTGGTATATGAATAGGTTCTTCATTGTGTAGCCAGTGCTCTGTCAATAATACTATATCCGGAAAGTTTTTATTCTCTAAAAATATATATAGTTCGTCTGCTTTGTTTCTTACTGATTGGATGTTCAACAGCATTAGGGATACACATTTTCCAGAGTTTTTACTCCTAAAAAAGATTTTTGATTATCCTACTCAGTGGAGCATGGTAACAAGGTATTTCCTAGATCATTTTCAGACAAAGTTGTATTTAATGTTGAATTTGTATTGTTAGTGTCATTAACCGTTATAATAAAATCAGTTATATGGTATTGTTTTCAGACAAATCTTACTATTCTTTGGCGCATGAAAATAATTTTCTAGTTTATTGCACAGCTCAAATTTACTCCCCTTCTTTTTTGTATCAACAAAAAACATAATAGAACAACTCCTTGTAGATCGTGAAGTACGGTTCACCGCATGCCTAAATTTATTGATCAAAATTCTATCTGTTGGAGTATCACATTCAGATACTATTATTAAGTTTGTAGTTTTACTGATGAGCAAAATGTGTTTCAAAGCTAAGTTAAAAGATTTGCTATTGCTAATATTCTTAGTGATAAACATCACTATAACATGATCATTTTCGCCATAACATATGGTATAATCAAATAAATTACTTGTCAATACCGCTAACTCATACTCTGGTTTGATAATTTCCGAGATTTCATAATGTAAACTGTTCAAAAGTGTCATTAATACTGGTGGGAAGCCTACCGCGTATAGATCACCTATGATTAGAATTTTTCGAACATCTCTTTCTTGCAAATTCAAATGTCCATTTTGATTGCGTTTTTCAAATGGTGATATATCCAGTGGATTTGAATCTTTCATTTCCACAATCGCTTCTTGAAGACCATCTTGTCGATCCAATTCACTTATTTCATCAAGCAGGGATGATTTCTGTGATGTTTTTTCCATAGTCGCACCTATTAAGCCTTCCTGCTGATCCGAATCCATAATTTTATCAAGTAAGGTTAGATTTTCCTGTAATGTTTCTTCCACGAACCCATAATCGGTTTGCTTTTGTCCTTTTTTCCTTTTGTTGGTTTTG